AATCCACATTCAAGCTGGATATGCTAGAAGTGCGTCCTTCTCTTGAGTTCACTAGAACCATCATCTCCGTGTGTCTGTCGAAGGATGGTGAGATGTATCCTATAAGCGGGTTTCCTCGCTACCTGGGACCAAAGACATTGCAAAACAGATCTAGAAAGCAAGATGGGACTAAGACACAGCAAACAACCGGTCAAGTTTCGACAAAAGAAACGAATCCAATGAACGACGAGGCCGGAAACAAAGCTCCGATCAAAATGACCAGCGCAGTCTTCAGGCTTGGAAGCGCGGAGTGGACCTGGGAGTAGTAACGAGACTCTACCGATTCAATCTCCTGACGAAGACATACCGTTCTGGGCTCGTGGCTTTCGTAATTCTGGACACGTCTCAATAGATGAGGACTTCCCAGGCACACCGTCCTCAATCGCCGAGACCGTCGGGGAGATGATGGAAGAGGAATTGCTGGAGTTAGCAAAACGAGAGAGCTTGAAGACTTCTCCCACCATAGCAAGCCGGCCTTAGCCTCTCTCTCCCCGCTCTTGGGAGGTCAACGACTCGGCTCATCCTGTAACCTCGTCGAGCCCCCCCGCCGATGAACTTCGTCAGGACCATGAGAGATCGCCAAGAAGTGTTCAAGAAGGCTTTCCAGCTCTATACTCTTCCATGTCAAACCCTGACATGCACTTGAATCACTCGCCATCACCGCGCCCTGAGCCAAGCAGATGGCGGTCAGCCGAAGGAGCTACAGAGCCTTCCTCTATCATCACAGACTTAACAGAAGAGGAAATTCTCGAGATTGTTAAAATGAGAAGCATAGGATTGCATTGAAGTTTCATACAGGAGCCTCAGTAGATGCAGTCTAAGGGGTTTAGCAGCGGCTTTAGGGAACATGAGCGAGAGTTATGGCTATTAAAGAATGGTTTATTCAATGGGCTTGGTTTGGTATGCATGGCATAAAGAAGCGTGAAAATTATGATTGAGCTTGCCTTCCTTTCATTACATCAAAACCTTTGAACATTCTTTAGCTGCCACGAATTGACGAGTAAAATCAACATACATGTCTTATTCTTTCTTCCTTCTGAAGTGTCTTGCTTATAGGGCTGACTATTTCATCGATTGAAGGTTGTAATAGTAACCGCGCCAATTTACATTTCATCTTTGAATTGTAAATAAGGTCTATTCTGTCACATGCTAGCAGTAATATAAAATGAATACCATAGCCGTATATTTCGAAGTCGTAACGCTAAAGAAAGAACTTCAAAGTGAGCCGAAGAGGGGCTTCTTTGAGGGAGGTATAAGTCACATGGCCTGGCATCATGTGACCCGAGATCAAACCTAGCTTGTTAAAAAGGGGAAGCAACTGGTGCTGCAAGCGACTGCACTACTAGCAGGCGTGTTTCTTATCTTGAATATGGTTAGGATTCAAATACAGAAATGTTTTGGATTTTAGTATTATCATCCGGACTTTTTTGCGGCTTAGTTTCAAATTCCAGCGTGCTCCAAGTTCTATTAGGCCGAATTCGTAAAAAATACAGCGAGTGTGTTTACGCAAGCGGTAAATTGTAATTCTCAATCCTCTGAAAGTTGGAAGAAGCCGAAAGTTTGCCGTTACCGTCGCATGCTTTTTGACTGACTGCTTCTGTGAACAGCAAATAATTAATCGACAGGACTGGTCCCCAACTTAAAAAAGACATCTAGTACACCATGTATGGTCTTTAACCAGAATCTCTCCGGAGACAGAGCATACTAGCTTTTCCTATATGGTATCACTTGGGGTTTCTAAATCACGCTTATCTTACTGGCACAAAATAGATTGTTTCTCTGCGAGGTGTTGAAGCTGGGCGGACGAATGTTGAGTTTGCAGTGGAAGTCAAAAGGTCACTTCTCTCATTGGGACCTTACCTTCACTGACAATCGAGGCAAGGCATTTCAGCTGGGCCAACGAGAGAAGAACAACCAATCATATGCCGCACAAGGTCCCCTGAATCATCGCCAGCATAAGCCTACTCTTGTCTGTTGCCAATGGTACTAAGTTCACTAACTCTTCCAGCTTTGACACACAGGGCCAACGGGATCAACCCTGCCATAATGGAGGCTACAACAATGCCTTTGTTATGGGTCAGTCGACTCGTACATTCAATGTGGATCAACGAGACTTCGGCATTCGAGAAAGGTGGGTCTACGACAACCACAACATCAAGCAAAGAGCAGGAAGACTACTGAGCTATTTAAGAGTCATCAAGCAGATATTTAGGTTCCACTCACGGCATTTCTGGAGCAAAGAAACAAGCGAGCGTGTATAGATGCGAACGGAGAAGATAGACCGCCAAAAAGAAAACATACCTATGGTGGGTACCTAGGTAGGTGGTCAAGGTCCAAGGCTTCTTCGGTAATCCTAGCGTGAAAGACGATTTTCATCGTATAACTCGACTGACTTGCGATTCTTGACAGCAAGAAATTATATGGCAATAGGGGCTAAAAGGATCTAATCCATGCTAAGCACCCTACGCCCGGAGCTTAGGTCGAAAAGTATTTGATGGAGGTCAATTAAGCATCCTCACTTTCAAATCGATTCTCATTAGAGTCATTACTAACCACTTTCCACTCGTTGCTATGGCGTGAAGGTATCTCACACATGCACATGCCCATCTCATATCTAACACCTTGCCTTTTATACCACCACGTCCTGTCTTCTGAATATGTCTCCCGAGTGACTCATCAAAGTAGGAAGGGTATCCGGATGTTTCAGATCAAGACTATAAAACATAATGAGGCTGTCAAAGGAAGCTCAATTGTAATATAGAGCCATATGACCACATAAGATACATCAAGACTTGGCAAGGTGCTGCAAGCAGTGGTTTAGTCGGAGCATCTGCTTGCAACATGAAGGACTGAGCAAGGTCCACTACAGGAGGTCGCATCAAGTACCGAATCCAAATGCTCTGCTATTTGGCACGGAAGCTGTAAGTTTCGTCGTATACACTTCGACTGTATGAACACTTTTCATTGACAACAGATCCCGGGTTGACAGCATTACCAAAGGATACATCAAACGCTATGACCTACAACGACGGCCTCAAAAGAATAGATCTACGTGCTCAAAATACTACATATCAAGCGGCTCTAGCCTTGCCGCCTTCGGTTCCTACCTATGGAAACGCAAAAGCAAAGGCAAAGCAGTGAATGCAAAGTTGAAAATACTCGCCATAGAATCACAAGTCTAACCAATATGAGAGCCACCAACAATTCAACCAGAGAAAGCAAGCAGAATTTTTTTTTGGTTATAGATAACAAATGCTAGCAGGCGCTATAGTAATATGCAACAATACAATTTTTACAGAAAAAGTATCACAGAGTATCCAAGTACAAGGAAACTTTCAACTAGGGCTCAAAAAGCAAACTTTCAACTAAGGCTCAAAGACAGCTTTCTTTACATCCCCGTCGACCGGCCGAAAATAGGGCAGTTGACAGCGAACAAAACTTTGACAACAGAAGTCTAGTAATTAACCTGAAGGTCAGTCTTGCACACGTTGGATATTACATACGTCCACTTACAGCGCTAGCGCGGGTTGTACTTCGCCATATGATCTTCACCCAAAAGACACGACTTATGGTGGATAGCGGCCACAATGGGTACCATACACGATCTTTGCAACTAGCAGGCAGGCTACTTGCCCGCTTTTATATCACAGAACCTTATCTGACATGACTGCGTGTAATTCACTTCCAATCTCAAAGCAAGGAGTCCGTGAATAGAATAAAATCCCACAGATCATATTCTTCGACGATTTGGTTTAGGTATACTATAAAAGACCCCCAAGGACAGCTTTGGGGACCTTTGTATATGAAAGACATAACATCGATCCTGGTCGACTTCTTAATGTATGGTTTGGACTCGCCAGAGTAAGTAATAAAACCATTATGCACAACCAGCGGATCTACGGCCTCAAATTCACATCTCTTTTTCAGATGGGAAGTTCGTATCCACATCGTCATGTAATCGACCGTCCGAAACAACTTGACAGCAAAATTCAAGCTGACACAACCTCCACTTCCAAAGCCCAATCAACAAACTCTTCCGCCCTCATCCTCACCTATCCCAATACCCGCTTCCCCATACCGTCGTATCAAAATCACCACTGGAGCACGGCAAACTCAAAACGCTGGACCAAAGCACGGATGGTTCTCCCGATATAATCATTCCGCGTCTGCAGAAAGACTTCTCGTTGACAATAGGGGAAGTATTTATACCTCTCCTCTCCTTTCTCTCCTTCCTTCCACCACCCTCCACTTCCCGCCATCTTCTCCTCTCCAACGTTAATAAATTAAGATCCAGACCTCGCCGAAACGCAATAAAAACCCACAATATAATTTGTATACATCCAAAGACTTCCATTTACCTGACGCAAAAGCCACACACACCATTTTCACAGCGCAAGATACCATACTGAATACTACAAGCGTATCTAAAAAACGCTTCCGTTGGATGATGTACTGTACTATATCGCCATGTAAAAAATTGCCGAAAGGGAAGAGTACATAAGTAGGTTGGTATAGTATGTCAAAGAAGAAAAGCGCGTGGGATGTAAAAGGAGCAGAGATAGCAAAAACGGAGAGAGAAACAGGGAGGGTTGAAAGGTATACATTGGTCATAGGGCTATGGTCACTTAATATTATCATCCCACTTGGGAAATACTGCGGAGTATACATGGTATGAAAAGGAATAAGGAGACGGGAGTAGGATAGAGGTCTAGAATATTCATTATCTACTCTTGTTATCGCTATTGTTATACCAGTAAACGCAAGAAAAGCCACGCACGCTGTATGATCGAGACCAAGACAAAGCCCATGAGACGCCATCCTATGCATGCATACCGGCCACTCCAGGTCTCAAACTCCTCCCATACCCATCTTTCCTATAAATAATCTTCCTTCCCAGCACCGCATAGATTTTCGACAACTCCCTGACCCCTTCACTCCGTATACTCCTCTCTGTGCCCATTTCAATACCCATACCCTTCCTGCGCCACGACCCCAGGCTGCGCGTACCCCCTCTGCTGAATCGGCATCTGGCCCGGCATCTGGCTCGGATGTCTCATGCCACCGCCCAAATCACTAAACCAAGGATGCTGCAGTGCATCTTGAGCACTGATTCTCAACTCCGGTCGTAACTGCAACATGCGCTGCAGCAGATCAATACCATTAGGATCGATCTGCGGCAAGATCGCCCTCAGGTCCTGCGTAGCATACATCTGGAAATTCTGCTTGTACTCGGTGTACTGGCTAATGCCCGGCCACGTGCGCTCAGAAGGTGTGCCCATAATGCGGAAGATACGTACGAGTTGGTCCTCGTTTGTCGTGCCAGGGAAGAGGGGGCGGCCTGTATACATTTCGGCCATGATGCAGCCGGTGGACCAGATATCGATGCTGGTGTTGTAGGTGCGGGAACCCAGGAGCACATCGGGGGCGCGATACCATAGGGTGACGACTTCGTTGGAGAATGTGTTGACGGGAATGCCGAAGGCGCGGGCTAGGCCGAAGTCTGCGAGTTTGAGCTGGCCCTTGACGTTTATGAGGAGGTTTTGCGGCTTTAGGTCTCGATGTAGCACACGATTGGTGTGGCAGAATGCTATGCCTTGTAGCAGCTGGTGCATGAAAGATTTGATGGTAATGGGGTTGAGAGCACCGCGGTCGCCTTGCGTGTCCATGTACCTCTTAAGATCTTTGTCCATATATTCGAAAACAAGCATAAGTTTGTTCTCGGTGTGGATGACATCGTGTAGGGAGACAATATTTTCGTGCTTCAACTCTTTCATGAGGGAGATTTCGCGGATTGCGGTGGAAGGGGTGCCTTCTTCCGAGTCGAGATGGATTTCTTTCAAGGCCACCAGTTCTCCGGTTTGTCTATTACGACCTTTGAAAACCTGTAGAAGTTAGGATATGTCTTTCATAGTAGAGCTAATATATGCAAGAATTCTAGGGCAATGCTTCAGGCTGCGGCTAGGCTGGAACCCCATCCTTAACATACCGTAGCATATGTCCCCTCTCCCAGCTTCTCCAACTGCTGGAAAGAACTCGGGTGGCGTTTATCCATCTTGGTGAACGGTTCTTCTGCCGCAAGATTCTGTACGCTAATAGTGCTGGGCAATGAAGGAGGAAGTCTCTGGGCTGTAGGTGAGGGAGGAAAGGTTCGAAAAGGAGGCTGAGGCGAGGGGCGTTGTCGCGAAGTGATTCGGGGGTCGAAGAGGAGCGAGGAAGGAGTGCAGAGATTATTAAGAATGGTGAACGCGTCCTTCGACTCGTGTGAATCCGTTGTGGAGGTGGGCAAGGCAAGATATTAAAGAAGCCCGGAGAGTACAGGACCTCTTATATCCGCTGCTGCGAGTATTTGTATGGAGAGGGGAGGGGTGGTGGGCATGGGATGGGATGATTGTCGGGAGATGGACGCTGTTTTATTGGGCAGAATTGCTATTTGGGGGGGTCTTTAAGCGCCGATCGGCTATGAGAGCGGCTAGTGGTGGTGGTCCAGTTACAGAATGTGGATCGATATATTACTTGGGAACAAGAAACCAAAGAATTCAATAAAAGAAACGTTATAATATAAAGTCTGAGTGTATTGTATTATGTTACATAGCTATAGACAAAGTGTTATTATCCATTTGCATCGTATGGCTGATGTACAAATAATCCATATTCCTGCCAGTCCCATAATCTACTCGCCTTTACCTCCGTGATAGCGCATATGTGACTCCACCACGATAGTGCCTGATGAGCGATAGGCACAGCGGGGTACGAACCTTAGAACTACATCAACACCACAACCACAGCAAGCAAACAACTTCCAAATAACCTCAACATCTCCAAACAATCCCTGGATATGCTGAATCTGTCTTGAGCACACCAAACCATCTCCCTTACAATGCGACCCCTTCCTGGAGAGGACGCCTACACAGGGCGGTCCCGGAGTACCAGCTTCGCCGATAACGAGACCACACCACTGGCAACACGCAATCAGCCACCGCAAATGACATACTTCCTAGCAGACGAAAAGACTATGGAAGAGTCTCTCTCCCATTCATATTCCCCCTCCCCTACATCGAAACAACGCGAGTCTTCAAAAGACAGCACGTACGGAGTTGAGAGCCTGGAGTCGACGATAAGCTCCATATCTCAAGATAGTGATGATTCCGAAGACAAGCTGCGGCATGCAAGACGGAACTGGAAGAAGAATCTTGGACAGCCAAGACCACGTTCTTCTGATGAGGACCTATCCTCCATAGCATCAGAAAGCAGGAACGCCTCGCCCTTGCCCCACCATCAACGCCGTCCCTCCCAAATTACGATATCGAGACCCTTCACACCCCTTTCCTTTGGGTCCCCTGCTCCCCCATCCTTCATGAGTAGCCCCGACTCTCGCCGTGCCTCTGATGCCGGTTCATACATGGATGAGGTGACTAGTCAGGCGATCGCATCAAGTGGGGATGAAGAGAGGGATGAACTGGCTGAGAGTGGTAGTGCACCACAACTGGTCATGCCTAGTATTAAGATGCCGAGCCGACGGCCCTTTACGGAAAGAGGGAAGAATATGGGAAGGTTGAAGGTTTTGATTGCTGGGGATTCGGGTATGTACCCCGCGCCACAACTTACTATCTGAGAGTATAACTAACCAAGCAAAAGGTGTTGGCAAAACATCATTGATCAAGTCGATCGTACAGGTCTGCGAGGATATCGTACACGTGGATCCCCTTTCCCCACAATCGATTTCCATCCCGGAAACAAGGAGGAAAAGCTCGAGGAGTAAATCGAGAAGTGGCGTTGAGATGCAGAGTACCTCGCAGATTACGGAGATTTATGCTAGTACAAGAGCGTATCCATCTTGGTGGTCTGATTTGGAGGAGAGTAGGATATTGAGAAGACGGAAGAGTTTGGGCGATTCGGTGCTGGAGAGGAATTTGTGTTTTGTTGATACCCCTGGATATGGACATAAGACATCAGTAGGTACTTCTTCCGGGAAGCCTGATATCTACTAACATTTCCAGTGCTTGGAATGCATTACCCCAGTCGTCGACTATGTCGAGTCTCATTTCAAAAAGGCTACATCACTCGATACATTGAGCGAGCCTGATATGATTAATATGTTAAGTGGAAACGGAGGATCGCAAGTCGATCTAGTTCTCTATGTAATCACACAGCGTAAGCTCCACTTCCCTCGCCTTCCGGGCCTTTCTAACACAACCCAGGAATAAGACCAGTAGACATCGAATACCTCCGCCGCCTCTCCCACCTAACGAACATAATCCCTATCCTCTCCCAGACCGACATCCTCTCCTCCACCGATATTTCAGCACTTAAAGAGAACATCACAAGCGAACTCTCGGCATCCAACATACGCACCTTTCAATTCGGTCCTTCTGCTGAAGGACATCGAATATCAAGCCCCTACGCAATATCAACAACCCCCTCCAAAGACCACGACACTATGGACGCCTCCCTCCTGATGTCCCCAGACTATGTATCTCCCCTCGTACCATCCGACCTGCACACGCTCGTGTCGCAAATTTTCGAACCATCCAGTATCTCCTGGTTGCGTCACTCAGCAGCCAAAAAATTCATCACATGGCGGGACACCTCCTCCGCTCTAACAATTCCACAATCCCTTGCCTCGCCAACTTCCTCTTTCCAAAACTTAACAAGGCCATCAGTTTCCTATGCGCTAGCACGTATAAACGACCACACCCAACGCGAAGAACGCCTCTCGCAAATCCGCCTAGCGAACTGGGCCGCTGACCTTCAGCGCTCGCTGCAAAATGAGCGTATTCGCTTCGAGACACTTGCTAGGAGTGAGAGAGCCGTCTGGCTTACGGAGAGATTAGGAGAGTGTGTGCTGGATGGGAGTATTGTGCCTGTTTCTGAGACTGGGAAGGGACTAGTCAAGATGGTTGCAGATGAAGGGAGTTATTCTAGGAAGAAACCCAAAGAAGCAGGCAGGAGAATGGAAATGGGAGTGGGAATGGATAGGGCAGATCCGTTGGGGTTATTGCAGTTGAACGCTGAGATGAAACGACGTGGCTGGGTTGCTGTAAGAGTCTTGGGTGGATTCGGAATCTTGGGGGGTCTGGCCTGGTGGGTTGTTGGAACATGGCAGGGTGCTGAAGAGACGAGGATTTGGGGTGTTGGGGTAAGGGATTGGTTGGACTTTGGGGTCGGGATGGGATTCTGAGGTTGGTATAACTTGACGGGTATATTCGAGGAGAGGAGTGGAGTGGAGATATGTGGTTACTCAGGAAGCGCATGATTTGGTAGGGCGTTAAGGAAAGTCTTCTACGATGAGCTACTTGGTTTAGTCAGGTATCAGCATTTTCCTCTCTTTTATAGCAGATAGGTAGTTATTAGTTTGATTTAGCGTAGCATTTACTCGAGTGGTGGAATGGAATGGAATATACCGATGTATCAACTCTTCCGCTTGTGCTTTGTTAGTTGCTGCTTACCGAGCTTCTTTTCGGTTTTGCTTAGATAGCGTAAGATATTTTAAGGGGAGATTTAGTTTTGAAGTACGAAGTAGGTGTGATTCGCCTAGTACGATTCGAAGACATACGGTACACCAGTGAGACGCGGATGAGTGGGGTGTAGTGTAGTATATAATAGGATCTTGATTCAAGGTTTATTTTGGCAAGAGACTTGAAGTTTCAGGAGCGCAAGGCGGAACATGAGTGAGCTGCTGCTAGTTTTTGGTGTGCAGGAATAGGGATGGATAGATATGTTTGTTCTAGGGCATATAGTGTGGGTTTGCTACTTGACAATGCTTGCTTTAGGTATAAAGTGGTGTGTATTTAGCGGTTAGAAGTGTTGTTAAACTTGTATATGCTGTTAATCTCTCTTGTTCGTTCGTTAGTTCAAGTCGTATGATGGAAGTGGATTTTCTGGATTCGTTCATTCATCATAATCAGGAACATAGGGTTTCTTGACATTCAATTTGCAACCTGTCTTACTAATTTAGCTACCAGTTCTGCTGGAATATCGTGAGGTGTGACTTGAGAGATAGCATGCTCAAGGTAGCAGTAACTTCACCGAAGTAAAGCATTTATGTTACGGATGGTTTACGAAGTTGGCTTGGTGGGCTGACTTGATTGAGGGGTTCAGGGGTAAAGTAAAGTACCGGAGTCGGAGCTAACCAATAGCCTCTTCGCTTAAAACGCGTGATAGTTACTAAGTATCCCCACCCCGTTTTAGAAGCGTGACCCAGAATTATTACGTAGAAGGTGTAACTATTGAGGCATATGAAGAAAGTCTCCAGCTACAAAACTAGAGAGAAGTTAACAGAACGTGTGTAAATTAATTTCGATTCTTATATAAAACTGTCTACCATCTACAAGGATTGAGAATTGAAGGCTTGGCGATAATGACGTAGATCGTCTCACATTTGCATGTCCAAGACTCCCAAGTCGCATGGTTTGCGTGTCAACCTCCGTGCTTCCGGTCCTCCAAGGTTTTCAATCATCAGCACATTCATCTGTATCCCCTTCCTTCGCCTGCACCCAGATGCGACATCTGATAGTGCAATGGTGATAATACAGCAACAACGATAATACCAGACATTCAATTATGCCTGAAGTCATTCGCGGGAGCCTTGCGCTGGATCGGGCGTCTTTTTCTCAGCCTATAGTCCATTCCGAATCACAACCAGAACCATTATCACCAACGAGTCCTATTGAACGACCACGAGTAACCTTTGACCAAAGCCGCGACGTCACGACCACCTCCCTCCCTACTATTCAAACACAAACCTCTCCGGCCCCCCGCCGTACAGTCTCCATCCGCCGGCACTCGTCCCACAACCAGAGACGAACCCGCGATCTCGATGAAGAAGAACGCGATGCTTATTACGACAGCAGAGCAGCGACTCAACGAGAGTACCGCCGGCGCGGAAGCACACTGCAATCCTACTACCACCAACACCCCGAGCTCCTGCCCCAGCTCCCCTTCACCTTTCGCCACGGCTTCAAGCGATGGAAGTTAGCCGGCTACATCTCGCTCATGGTCTTTGACGCCTGCGTCGTGCCCATTCTCCTTTTCTACTCCATGACATACGGCGGGAACGTGGAAGGCTATATCACATTTGCCGTCGTTACCGCCATCTGGGGTGGTCCCACATACGTCGAATTTGCGGTGCGAAGTATCCGGCTCATCAAGAAGAAGCGGTTCTTTAAGCCGCTGGGCACGAATCAGAGATGGGCGTTTGATATCACGAATTGGATACTGGTGCTTACTATTACGGTGGTGACTACGTTGCTGATTGTGGGCGCGGCGCCGCATATTGTGTTCTTGAGAGTACTATCGATGCCGGGGCCTGCTATCTTGTTTTGTTTTGCTGGACCGATCTTCTTGATGAGTTTGTATAGTACTTATGGATGGAAAGCGCCGTTTCGGATCAGTTCGACGGCAAAGGGAGAGAAGGTCCATCCGGGTATCTTTTATATTGTGGAGGATATCGTGGCTGTTAATGCGGGAGGTGGAAGGCCATTCCGGGAGGGTTGGGCTGCTAGGTATAATGCGAGTCCGGTATTCAGGAAGATGATCCGAGACCTGTCGTGGTTCTGGTCTATTCCTGGACTGATAGTTGCTGTGGCATGTACGGTTGTTGTCTGCATACATCCTGTTCCCAAGGCGGTTGTGTATGGTATTGGTAAGTTCCTCAATCATCTCATGCTCATTTCATCAACTAACAACATGCTAGGATGGGCGGTTCCTTTCATTTGGGCGGGAATATGGGCGGCTATCACCGTACCATGGGTACAATCCGTCATGAAATACGAAAGGAAGAGCTGGGAAGAAGACGCCACAATACTCGGAGAAGTCAAGGGGGAGACCGACCCATCGCAATCTTCTACTTTAGGTGGGAAACCAGATGAGGATGTTAATACACCGAGAGAGCCTACGACGCATGATGGAGGAGAGAGTGCCCCTCCGCCTTCCGCAGGAATGGGAACGACTGTTCAAACCGCGTAAAAGATGGCGACGCGTTCTTTTGTATTTTATATATACGCTTAATACCCCTTGATGACGCCGTATATATTTGGCGAATAGAAACTACAATGCATGCATACTTTCCTCACGCACAATTCCACGGGTCGGTCCAATGCATTCTTAGTAAGGTGCCAAAGATCAGCAGTTAGTGTCATCCCATGATATATAACAAATAATCATATGTGTACTCTGTCAACTCAAGCTCCCTTTTCCATTTGCATTAATTACCTTGTTAGCAAAGAAAGAAACCACAGGGAGCTTTCCGGGATTAAGAAATATCTCTTCTGTCCCACGCATGCTGTTCCTAGGACAGAGTCAGCCGCATATGATACAGGTGATTTCTCTTCCCTGTCTTCCATTCCCACTCACCAATTGAGAAATCTAGAGCCCTCGTACAGTATGTAGGTGGTTTTTCAAATCTCATACTCCGTACAGTACAGTACAGTAGCGAGACAATACTGCGTAATTTGACAAAAGAGAGGGAGGGAGGAAGGGGCCGGCCCTTCATACAGTATTCCTTTAGCTACAGTACTGTACTACTGCTAGCGCACTCGCATGGTATTCCCTTGTTGGGACGAAAGAGAGGTTGCTGTTGCATATCGTGAATCTTGGTACTTCGAGTCAGTGGGCGGTGGGCTGGGAGGGTCGAGTCATGGTATGGTGTATAGATAGATGCGTAGCGTGTATGGCGGGGCTGTGGGGGCGCGAGTCATTACTGGGTCGTAGACTCATTGTATGTTCGTATATCTTGTATGTGCGTCAGAAAAAAAAGGGGGATTTGGGATTTGGGATTTGGGGTTTGCAAGGAGTGAGGAGCAGCGGGGGGCTGGTATTTTTGTTCTGTGGTGTTTGCGTTTGTGGATTTCGGGGAGGAGGCAGTGGTGGTTGGATTGGGGTGTATGTATATGAGGAATGGTGAATTGGATGAGATGGACAGGGTATATGCGAGTTGCAACGAATGTCTGGGATCTTGTTTGGGGTTTGGAGGCGTTGGAAGAGAAGTCAATACTCTCGGCAGCCAAGGCTTTGGTGATACTACTCGTACTGTACGTACATGTGGGCTCTTTGGTTCATGACTCGTTCGTTGCACCGCATTACTTATTAGTAAATGCGCACGCGACCTTTACTATTCTAGTGCAATCAATGATTGCACAAAAGAAAAGCAAAAGTCTGTTCTCTCTCCGAAGAAACCCAATCAATGAGTAAATGTCAAAGAAAATTCAAAGAAGATCTATATATAGACTGCAACTGCGAAGTGCAGCAAGAAAGGGGCTCCGTGTGCTACCGTACGTGCTATATACATGACTCGCGCATCATGTAAGAAATATGACCGGGTTAGCGGGGTTTGAGGCTCAATTGTCTTTCTTGGGGTGGTTTGATCTTCTGGTGTACTTCGTATGTATACTCACGACTCGAGGTACAAATTTGCGAAATGCAACAAAGCAGAGTAAAGTCCTCTTTAGTACGGATTTAGAAGGAGGGCTTGGTCACTGCTCAGCTGATGCTTACTCCGTACGAACTAAGTGGAGTGGAGTGGGCTGGTAACTTGGATTTACGTGTTGGGTTTATGTCATGGTCTTGCGAAGTGCAACAGAATACTGTATACGGAGGGAGCTACATGAATGGAACCAGCTGCTTTTGAACTGGGCCGCATATTGAAGTGAGACAAGATGTCAGGGTAGATAGGACTATGTCTCGTCGATTTCACTGTTAGAATGGCAATGCTGTTTTGGAACACGGTGCAAAGTAATAAATATACCTATCTAACTCCTGATTATCAAACTCCCTTTAAAGGAGAAAAAAAGCCAATTCCACTGAGGAGGGTATCATCTTTACAAGTTGGAAACTTAAACAACCAGTCCTGCCCTATCTCTTCGGCCTCGGTCCCGAAGGCAACCCAGATCTTGGTCCGCTAGGAAGTCCAGGTCTCCCAGCTACTGTATTTATCCTCGAAATACCCGGCGACTTCTGTGGTGTCTGTGATCGGGCTCCAATAGTGTTATACCTCGCAACACCAGGTGACTTTTCAGGTACCTGTGGTCCAGCTCCACTTCCATTTCCTCTCCCTCCAACAGTATTATATCTTGAAACTCCCCTCTGAGCGCTCGCCACATCTAAACCTAAACCCACACCCACTTTACCAACCTTCAATTTGTTGACAAAAGGTTTTTCGACGCTTCCAACTACTGCAGTGTTTTGTTTTGGCACCGCAATAGCGATATTTGGAGCAGCATTTCCTGCAAGCTGACCACGCTCTTGCGCAAGCCCTGCAAAAGCTGCCTTGATTTTCTCCTCGGCTTTCTTCAGTTGTGCCTCTTTGGACAAAGGCTCGTCGTCCTCAAAATCCTCCTCGTCGACCACCACCTGCGCTGCTATCTCTCGCTCTACCCGCTGCTGCTGGGCCATTCTTTCTTCTGCAATGCGTTGGGCTTCCATTCTGGCCACCTCCTCATACCTCAAACGTTCTTCTCGCTCTTCTTCCGTTCGGCGCCCCCGCTCATCGGCAATTCGTTCCTCTTCCATACGCTGCGCTTGCACTCTCATATCCTCCTCGTATTGCAGTTGCTCTTCTCTTTCAACCTCGGCCAATCTTTCCTCTTCGATGCGCGCAGCTTCCAACCTCATATCTTCCTGATATCTTAAGCGCTCTTCTCTTTCGATTTCCGCGATTCTTGCATCCTCTATACGCTCGGCTTCTAATCTCGCGTCCTCTTCATCTGCCCACAGTTGTTCTCTCTCTTTTGCCTCACGCCTCTCTCGCCATGCTCTTCGTTCCTCCTGTGCGCGCTCCTCTTCCAGTCTGGTCTCCTCCTCGTATCTCATACTCTCCACGCTCTCCTCCTCGGAACGTCTCTGTTCCTTAGCAAACGTCTCATCCTCAATCCGTTGAGCTTCGAGCCTAGCATCTTCCTCTTCCGCATCATACCGCAAACGTTCTGCTTCCACCTCCTCCTCATAAATCCTTACTTGAGAATTCTGGTAATCAGCTTCTTGTCGAGCCAACCGGTCATCGTCTAAACGGTCAAAGCTGTCCCTCTCATCGGCATCAGAATCTCCATAATCACTCTCATAATCAGATTGCCTTTCTCCTTCTTGACCACGTTCTCCTTCCTCTTCTTTGATTCGCGCCTGCTCACGTTCCACCTCTGCCACGAATTGTTTCATCATCTCATCCTCTTCCGCAAGCTTTTTCTCCTCTATCTCAAATTTTTCCTCCTCTTCCCACATCCGTCTTCGTTCTAACTCTATTTGCTCTTGCTGTGTCTTGATCTGGTCGCTCATTTTTTGATATTCGGAAATCGTCGGTCCAGTGTACTGTTCCTCGTCTGACGGAGCTACAGGGGAAGACAAAGTACTCGCTTGTATCCTCCCCGTCGGCTCTGTTGAAACCATCATCGGCATCTTAATCGGTGCCGGCTCATCTACAAGTGAGCTCTCGAGCCATGGCTTGACCTCTCCCATCGGCGACTTTGCGATCCCTCGACCCAAAGTCGAATTTTTCCTGGATGCCGAGACATCTGTACTTGAGCTGAAATCCGTTCCCAGCATGTCCATCAACGAATCGAGCTCACTGATAGACGGTTTCCCTTTCTTCGACACCTTTGCTTTTTCTACGGATGCTGGGGATATTTGCATCATACTACTCATCAAGTCATCGAGCTGGCTGATGGATGCTTTCCCTCTCTTCGGACCCTTCTTCCATTCCCGAGGTCCCGACTCAGGTTTCACGGACTGTTGAATTTCCGTTGGATTAGTTTGTAGCATATTCATCAAATCATCCAGTTCGCTAAGGGACGACTTTTTGGTTTGCTGTCCTGATGACTTTTCCGGAGGCGTGGGAGCGGTCTCCGAAACAGAGGCTGCTTTCGCTAGTATCGTGGCCACAAGTGGAGTGGGCTCAATCTTCGTCCATACTGCTTTTGGAGCCGGGTTGGAGATCAAATCTGGATTCCTAGTACTTGGAGACGTTACTTGCACGGGGGAATTGAGTTTAGCAGCCAAGGATAGACGTTGCTGATCCGCATTTTCATTTTCTCGCGTGTTTGCTGCTTCCTTGTCAATCTTCGCCCGGGCAGCAGCAGCATATCCAAACATCTTCGCCACCCTAGACGCATTCGAAGTCGAAGTCGAAGCCGACGTTTGCAATTGGGATTGCTCGCGATCGTTAGCACCAGGCACTGCCGGAATTCCATAGAGTTTTTTAGTCGGCGCTGTGCTTGTGGGCTGGACGTTAATTGATGTCAGCCTTTCTTTCCCGCATTGAGGTCACGATGCTTTTGCTGGAAGGAAGGGTGTTCAGTCTCTCACCTTTTGGGGAATAATTATGGGCGCAGGTGATGGTTCCATTGCACCTGAACCTAATCCTGAACCTGGTGTCCCTTCCTTCTTTTTCACATACGAGGTAAAATAGGCGCCCCATCCTGTCGCCATCGTGACCTGAGTTCTTGTCCTTAATCCTCGGACTGCGTGTGCTGTAAAATTCCTATCCACAGCTAGAACGTTGTTTCTTATAGTCAACTGAAACCTCAAGGCAAAAAAGATACTGACTGCAAAAGAAGAAGAAGATAGATATAAATGTTTCTTTAGAAAAGAACATGAGGGGAGATTGAAGGTTTATAAATGATCTACAGATCCTGATACAAGTTTGAGACGAGAGGCGGCGGCAAGCGAAAGAAAAAGCGGCACGCGGTTGAAACAAGAGTTCGGGGTTATGAAACAAATCACGGGACACCTTATACTATAACACTGCGACCTAATACTGTACTGTAAAGTCGAGTAATCTTATATCATCATGGTTCGGTGGGCATTATTATAAAAGTTTTATGAAACAACAAGGTAAGGATAAAGAGGAATGGTAAAAGTACCTACGCAGGTATAGAAGCAGGAAGTTGGGTTGGGAATAACCTCAAGGGCACGGACTATTTCTGTAAGCGAGGGAGTCCGATCTATAACGTGACATGTATGTAAGAAGTTGAATAGCTTGAGGATAGATTGGTTTTACTCAGATTGGATATTGATGGTAGGATGTAAGTTGTGAGTATAATGATTTTATACTAAGGTAAAAAAGTATTTAGGATACGAGTATTTCGTGGTTGGTAATCTTACTCTCGGCTATTCACTCCCCCTCCACCTCCAACCTCACACTCACCTCACCCCCCCCAAGACCTCGACCTCAACGTCAACAACGACGAAACTTCCCGCGCCCTCGACGCCCTCTATATCTCCTCATACCACAACCCCCAGGTCCAAAACAGCCGATCTACCGTTCCGAGAACGCGGTGCGGATTGTGATTGAGAGGTTTTCACTCTGTAGCCGCGTTATTGGATGCGCTGGGTGAGGGTTGTGTAAGGTATGTACGGTCGGCCATGTTGTGGGAAACTGCGGTCGCACGAAATCGTCGGTTTTTGTATATTTGCTAGCATTATGTATTTAAATGATTTTTTCTAGTGTAGCGCGCACTTAAATAATTATGCAGGTACTTCTATAGCGCCTACTATTAGTTTTATAAGGTTATATGAGTGCTAGCCTAGACATTATTTCATGGTTGCATTTCTAGGTGTAAAAGAAGTCCTAGCTAAGATTGCAGCGATGAAGTGAAAAGCTTTATCGCTGCTTAGTTATTAGAGCTAAGGTTATATAGGACATGTGATATATATTCTAATAATTATATAAACTATAATTCTTTATACGTCCCGATTATCGAGTTCGAATCGTCCGGTGGTATAACCTGGGACTTTTCATCATCATCATCATCATCATCAGTCGATGAAGTTCTACGCTCTGGAGACAATAATATCTCTTAGCTCGACTTTTCCCTTTTCCCTTTTCCAAGGATAGGATACAAGACTTAATTACTTGAGCGGATCTGATCCGGTGTTGTCTGGGACATGACAGCAAGTCCAGCAATCGTGTGCAAAACCAACCACTCAGAGTTCCGGGGCGCGTTACAAAGGCCTCGAGCCGGGAGATTTCGATTCGCAGCTACTTGAGCCGAGCTCTTCAGGGATTTATCCTGAATATCCCTCACGCACCACATGGCCTTCCCCCTCAGATAATAATGATTGGTATCGATTTCCGCCATATAACAGCACTCGCCGAATAGCGCTTCCGCAGCTAGGGTCCAGCTCTCGGCCTCCATCCGGTCGGCGAAGACGGAGATGTAGGGACTGTCGAATTTCTTCCCGCTGCGGTGGTTTTCGATGGAGCGGTAGAAGAGATCTAGTTGAGAAGCTCCGCGGTCGCTGGCGTTGATGCGGAGTGTGGTGTTGGCGGCCGTGAAGCCGGATCTTTCGTTAAACTTGCACGCCGAGTTTGGATTTACCACGCGGTAGAGCACTTTTGGTAAAGCTGATTTGGGCGTCCACTCGATATCCATCTTGGGATAAAAAATTGGTCAAGCCAAAATCGTTTCAGTAGCTGAGGATAGTAGAAGTTAGGAATCTTCGTCAAAATAAAGGCGGGTGATGAAATATACCTATTCAACAGTTGTTTGCTGTCGGGAAGATGATTTCGAGATGTCAAGATCGAAATGTGTCAAACTGACATTCATACTGACAAAGAAGGGTTCCTTTTCTTTAAGCAACTTCATTCGTCAAAAGGTGAATTGGTCGTTGGTAGGGGGAAGGGAAAAGGAGAATCTTTAAGCGAGGTAAAACAAAGGAGCAGAATTCTCAAGACTCCTGCACAGCATCTTTCTATCATATAAATAGCATCCTTTGATATTATACAGGGGTAATATGAAAGAATAGTTGGAGTATTCAATTACTTATATTACAATTTAGTACATGAAAGCATGATATATGACCGCGGGTCAAAACAGACAAAATAAGAACACCTCTACTACAATCCCAAGCCAACCGCAATTCTAAACCAACAGAAATTCAATATCCCTCCGCTACGGCTCTAACACGTGCAATGCGGCTGTCTATCCGCCTTGACGCACAACAGCTTCCACGCCCACACGTATCAATAGTAAGAAGCTTCTCCCCCACGCACTACGAGACAAAAGAAACGCCATCAGACTCCCCTGCACAGAAGTATTTAGCTTCAAATTTCAAAAAAGAAAGTCATCAGATATATGACAACTCCAACGAGGAAAGACTGAGTAATAAACGTACCTTCATGAGCTGCACTGCAAGATTCCATGGTCGAAGTAGATGTCTCGATACTGCTAATTGGTTTTTGGGGCTGCGGTGGCAATGGCTGCGACTGCTAGGACGATGGTGGACATGTATTGCATTTTAAATAGGGGTATATAGATGAGGTTTGATTTCGTATGCTTGTTTGAAGATAGCTTGTTGTGTGGAGTTGAGAATATTTCCGGTGTTGGTTTGACTTTGGTGTGAATGGAAAGACGATGAAAGGTATGCCTATTCTGGTCGCATGCAAGGGTTTTTATATACTCGCCATGGAGAGTCCTAGGGATCTGAGATAGCGAGGCTGTTTTCAGTTCCGTGGTTTGCTGTATGTCAATTGGTACGGGTTATGGCTTGAATTGACAGCCCCAACTTGTCCACCCAAAGCCACAGTTCCATCTATGGGTAAGACAACACAAGTCTTTGAACTTATCTATTTCACGTGAGAGGTTTAGAGGATCACGTAACCAAGCTCATCTACTTATTGGCTGCGGAACCCCGAAGGACTGTTCGTCGATCATATTAGATTGCATCAGGCAAGACGCAATTTTGTGCGAAGTATTGGGGCTGAAGTACTTTGTAAATGCGAGCCTTGGTAATTAACCTTTTTAATAACCTTGTACATGATATAGATAGATTAAAGCCGCAAAAGGTACACTCATAGGTACTTTGAACGTATCTAAATATGGATTGTGCTGTAGTCCCGCCGTCCGTTGATTAGCGGGAAAAGCCAAGAAGAAGAGGTTGTTTCCCCAACCCACTGCCTAGCGAGCTTCCTAGAATGTACAAGGTAGCATATATTTATTTTTCTCCCGCTTAGCTCGGACTCGTGAATTTGAAGTATGAAGTAAGAAGTCAGCCTCGCAAGTCCGTGGAATATGAATCCAAATTTGACCTCGCCTATTTAAATATTGAGGCCCAGCAAAGATCAAAGACCTCAATGAGACCCCAGTCCATTTCTAGCAAACATCCCTAATTGAAGGGATAGGGTGGTTGCTAACATCCGTAGGTGCTGATTGTCGATTCATCTTCCATGCCAGCAGCTGATCAAGCGAAAGAATCATCGCCCCGCCCATCATCATAGTCCCACTGAAAATCTGAGCATAAAGAAACCCTCCCCCGTCCGTAGTGATCAGCGCACCAGCAATGGGAGGTCCCGCTAGACTTCCCAGGCCAGCTATGGAAAGAACCATGCCCATTCGAACACCCTTCTGCTTCGGATCATCTGTCAGACTCGCTAATGCAGATGGGAAGAGGCCTTGAACAGCGGCTCCAGCTATTCCGTAGAGAACTATGAAGGGTAGAAGGCCACCTAGAGACGTGACGGCTATCCAGGAGTAGAGAACAATCGATCCCATAAAAACAAATGGGAGTAGGGTTTTCACCGGCCCTATGTATCCATCTGCTAAAATGGCTGGAATGATTCGGCCTGGAACACCAACAGCGTTAATGATAATCACGATGGTTCTGGAAGTAGATACAGAGAGATGGACTGCATCTCGAGCGAAAGTACCAATCTGATGTTGAGTATATCAGCGATTGTAGCACCGGGGGTGAGCCATGGACTCACATAGAAGAATCCAACATATAAACTACAGAATATCATGAATATGCCTGCACTGAACATGGAATATTTGACATCCCTGAATGATTTCAGATCGAACAGTGGGCCTGAAACCTTCCGCATATTCCTTTCCCTCGCAAAGAACTGTGCGATGCTGGCGTTGAACAAAACGACGAATCCTAAGACTCGGATAGTCCACGGAAATCCAATTCTGGGCAATAGCTGCTGGGCAATGATTGGAAAGACAATGCCTCCTGTAGCAGTCCCGGTAGCTACAATGAACATATCTAAGTTAGTATTGCCTAAAATAATAGAGCTTCGGAGTTGACAATGTCTTATGAATAGTAGCTAATGAATAGTCCAACATTAAGAGGCTAAACCACTCCTAAGATACCTCTTGTAGGAAAACATTCTCCGATAAGTTGACTTACCTACTATCGCCATCGCCAAGCTTCGCTTTTTGCTGAAATACGTGCTAATGTTTGTAATGGTGGGTCCAAATATCAGACCATCTCCAAGCCCTTGTACTATCCCTTGCAAGACGAGAAGATGCCAGTATTTGGTTGAGATAGACGTAAGGAATATCCCAATTAACTGCAGCAAAGGGCCGACAAAGAGCACGACACGATATAGACCCGAATCAAGCGCTATGCCGGCGAAGGTACCGAGAAATAGGGTGAGGAATATTTGCAAAGAGCCTACCCAGGAGATCGCAGAAGGTGATTGCTGGAGTTGTGTGGTGTAGTATTCTTGGAATATGCTGAAGGAATTGATGTAGCCCCACGTATTGAAGATTAGGAGATGCCCCATTAGGACTTGCGTCCAGGCTGTATCATCTTCAATCTCCTTCTCGTCCACATTATCATTACTCCGACGGATGCCTCTGGAAAAAGGATTGGAAAACATTATTTGGTATTGTTTGATATACGTGAATTGGCAATGAATCAGAGGTGCTAAAAAGAAAATAAATGAACAAATCCTTCGCAGAACTATTAGCAAAAGTGGGGGCATGGCTCGTCAACAAAGGGCGTTTGGTGGATCAGTGCAGTGGTGCTAGAACTGTGTAGATTAATAATTTAATATAGAGTTAGATGATGGATCATCTCTAGTTTCCTATCTGATTTCAACATGCTGCTTCCCTTTCCCTCCAACGCTCGCAGCACTCGCTCGCAATAGTTTTCGAACCGTAGCCCACTTGCGGCGAAATGTGGGATGGAAAGAATGGGGTAGCGTGCGGAAGTTAGTACAGATTTCAGAGTTCTCGCAGGCAACTTCATGGGGCTAATGGCTCTCATAGCTGGAATCCAAATACTGCAGGACATATTAATGAGGGAATTAGGTTGCGAAGAGAACGCGCCCTTGATATTTGGATGTCGTCGTCCATCTCTGCATGCTCTTCCTTGCACTAACTAGGAAGGCGAGAAGACTTCTAGAGAAGTCTTGGAGAAAATGAACACACATTAGGAAGCACGAAATGTTGAAGGAGCTTGTCGTACTTATCAAACACAAAGATAAAGAAAAGGAAAAGGAAAAGAAAAAGAATGAAGGGACGTGGAGCTCAAGACATGACGTGATGCGAGTCACCTGACTGGTCCCAAGTTCGCATTAAATTTCGCGTCGCGGCGCGTCTCCTTGTCCACGCGGCACTAGGTCCCCCTTTGACTCGGCTACCCCTGTTGCCTAGAATTATTTGGCCATTTGAGGCCCTTCGGGGTAATACTATAATTACTATGTAGTCAACCCCGTACTTACAATTCTCCAACCGCTATTAAGGCGACCGTCATCCTTAATAACCGCTTCTTTTCCTAACGTATCAGAAGCTTGTGGCTGCGGTCATGAGCGCTAGCTAGCTCTGTAATCCAGCTGTACTTGGGTGTTATTAGGGTCATTCTTTAGAATGTGTACGGCCGGTTATAAATCTGGAAATTTTGGTAGGATGGCCGCTTGAGGTAAATCAGCTTGTAAAAATAAAATCTGGTATAGGCGACGAAAACAGAATAGACGATTGTGAAGATGTCAGTCTTTCCATATGAACTCAAGGTCACTATACTATCTACTCGTGGTGGGCAATCTGACGCCAAATAACAGAGCGTATATAAGCTAGGCTCGACACAGTCCTTACGTTCTATGGACAAGAACAGTATTAGCTCCCACTGGTTACAGCTCGCCAATCAAACGGCCGTTCATACTGTCAACTCCCCCTACAGGCGGAGCTTGCAGTATTATAGATTCAGTAACATTGACCATGATATCCTGCACCAGTTTCGTCTGCACGACCCATGGAAAAGCCAAGCGGTAGAAACATTCGAAAAAGATGGCCTCGACCGCACCGATGGCTTCTTCGAACACCACTCGTTTTGTCGCGGGTACGACGATGAAGCCGATGAGTGAGGCAAAGGGACCAAGGCTTAGGAATGAGGTAAAGAACAGCATTAGTATTTCCTAAGATCGTTGTATTAGCCACAGATGCTAATTACCTATTTTAAATGGGTTGGCCTGCCCGAAAATAGTCAAGTTTGAGGTATGGAATAAATAAAAAAAGTCGCATACCGTCTTGAAGGTTTGCAAACCCTTTGGGCGTGACCTCGATGTCAAGCCTACTATTAAACGTACAAGTGAGAGCATCCAAAGCTTCCCTACTGTGACATGAAGTACCCATTTAACAAGCGTGTTCCACTTGCTGACCGAAGAACGTTGAATCTTGCCCTGTGCGATCAACTACAAGTTCCGAGTTAGCATTGCTGAATCATTAAAGATTCGGGAGCTCGGGGGAATCTTAGAACTTCCGAGCTTTCTATATGCTCCCGAATCTGTCCAAGCCACCCAGAAAATACAAGTCTTGGGAAGTTTACATACACGCTTCACAACCTCTTCTTCTTGGTCTGCGTTCAATTCTACTTCCACTTTCTCCTTTTTCTCGTAGTTGACCTGGCGACCTCGCGGCCGGGTTGGGAAGAGCCGCTCTAAGTAGATATGCCAATAGTATGACAGCGGGAAGAGCAGAGCGTAGATAAGTACACCCCGCGGCAGCCGAAGGAAATAAAAGGATTCGGGATTCTCCACCCACGGATCTTCACTGCCTGAAGATAAGGTGGCGTTTTGTGGTATGTTCTTGTAGGCCGTTGTGAGATTTTTGAGGACCGGGTCCTCCCAGACGTTGTTGTATGCGTTACGACTAATCTCATGTGATATTATCATTTCAAGGGCAATTAGGATGATAGATTGGATCACCGCTGATTGTAGTTGGGAGCGCGTCATGAGGGCGGTAGGCTCGCTGGATGAGACGTTGTGTGTTCTGTGAAAGGAGGGTGGCGTTCTAGCCTGAAGCAAATATCAACCTTAGACTGCAATCCAAATAGTTATAAAGAGTTGTGCGAGTTGCTCCTTTTAAAAAAAACCAAACTTCAAATGTGGGATTCTTGGTGGTCGTTGGTGGTTCTGCCTTGCTCAGCCACATGCTGCCTAAAGTGTGCAGGGTATAGCCATGTTTGCGATCGCGAATACTTCTTGTGATTTATCATTCGCAAAACTCTTTCTGCCTTTGGCCCATTCAGAGGATGCAATACAAAAGGCAAGTAAAAAAATGAGATTAGTTGGTGTATACCACGTGCCTCTTCAAAGCAGGTCGCCCGCAAGCCAACTGATCAGATAGGGATGCCAACAAATGCGTGAGGGGTGTAAAACTAGCCGAGTTGGCTGTATTTGAGATCAAGGGACGATTCGTGCCATTGGATATGACATACTATCTTATTGGTTGACTTCGTCGCACCTAGGATAAAGCCATTCCGAAATCTGGGCCGTATTCCGAACCGATATGGACGTCTGTAGTAAGCATTCCCTGCATGATGGCATTCAAAGTTGCCGGATCATTGAAATCAACCTCTTCTGTGAAGCTGAGGTCGCCGTTTATAGAACCGTACAATGCAGAACCCCAATACTCTCCATCGAAATTCAAATCTGTTGATTGTGCAAATGATAGTATCGAGCTTAAGCCCTCCAAATTACCGGTGGGAGTAATGTGCGCCACTTTCTCTGATGACTGAGTAGGCCCTTGATGGTTACCTTGAGTATTGGCCCCGTTTTGCGTGCTTTTAGCTTTATGGTCCAAAAGCCAGCGGATGGTAGGAACGGAGAGTCCGTCCAGAACATCTCTACTCCGCTTCGCCTCGGACCAGTGTTCACCTGTTGCGCTCAGCACATTCGAACCGGCCTTCAATATAGCCACCATGTCATCAATTTGTGTACTAACGGTAATTGCAGAAACAGTCCAAATGCAGTGAAGCATCGTGAGTGTGCTCAAGAATATCGAATGCACAGTCACCCAACTATAAACTAGTAGGTCTTGTTTGTACAATTGGCTATAGAGCCGTATCTCGGCGACCGCGCTCTGATAGCAAGCCTTTGACGACTCAAGTGAGGGTTTTGGTATCGCTGGACTAGGACCGTGAAGTAGCATCATAATTTTATGGTATTTTCTTTCGCAGAGCCGGGTCATATATATTCGCTCGCCCGTGAATTGTGGTATTTGTTGCTTCCAGGAGTGTAATCTCGCATCAATGTCCTTTTGCCAATCTGAAAAATCTGGTATGTTCGGATATGAGTACGGAGGTGGTTTGTGGGAGATGCTGTGGCAAATGTATTTGATCTCTGAGTTTATCTGCGCCAGTTTGAAGAGATGTATTGCGCAGCTCATATGTGTAGGGGGTTCCCCTTCTTGGCGAGGTCGGATGCCGGTTGCTGAGAGGTTGTAGTCATCTACATCAGCTGGCAACTTGAAAGTCCAGTCAGTCAGCAGTATTTCAGAAAAGAACCCTCACATACCCTTAATTCGCAGGCTTCGTCTCTAAGCCCAATGGGTCTTCCCATCATCGTCGCAACCTGTCTATCAATCGTATAAATCACCCAAAATGTCCTGGTCCTCAACTCCTGCTCAAGCACCGAGATACCTCTTCCCGATTTGACATCTCTTTGCAACCCTAGATCCAGCAATGCAGAGATGCATTGGTAGTTCAGATACCACACATTCAGTCCCAAGGAAGAGCTGTGGAATGTATATACGAGCAGCAGTAGCAAACATTGCAGTCCCCGCAATGAATTCTCGAGGTAGATTTTATCAAAAAACTTCATCGCACTAGCACAATATCCGGCGCCTGGAAGGGAGATCTTCAGTCGTCTAGAAATAATAATCGCAGATATAGCAAGAACCATGTTGACTTGGAAAACATCTACGGGACTGGGATCCGCCTCCTCATAAACCTTCCGAACCAGCTTTTCATGGCTCGGCTGATGCAAAAATGGATATTGAGGATGTATCGTCTCAAAATACGAGTTTGAGAGCTTGGTGGTGTAGTTCATATCCAGAGGTAGAGGCTCTGAGACAGAGTCCTTTGGGAGCAGGAAAGCAAAACGGTCGCTGACTTCTGCGCGGCGATTTGAAGGAGGTATCGGGTGTCCTTGCCGCGCTGCACATGCTAGGAGAAGCCGGGCAAATGAGTAACCGCTGGATGGACCGATGTATTTCGGGTCTGTGCCTGCGGAGAGGGACACCAGTCCAATTTCATGGCGGAGATTTGAGGACTGGTCTTGTGCCGGAGCATTTTCTCGTGGGTGGTCTGGGTCTAAGTCTGGGTCTGGGTGGCGTTCGAGATGGGTTTCTTGTTGATATTCTTGAAAGCCATCTGAGATATTGGTAGTCTTTGGTGTACTACCGCCCGAGGCCATTATAGTCTCATTGTCAACATTGAATACTTGAGACTCCCCATCTAGATTAACATCCGGACACCTTGTCCGAATGATGGTCTCAAGCCATCGAACTCGGGTTTGCAGGCTGGTGATATGTGCTCGGGGAGATTCATGGTTCTGTCCCTGTCCCCCATCAACACATTCTGTCCCGATTTTCAAGCAAGAACCGCAAGAGGGGACGGCTCCATCGCACTGTATGGAGAGTTAGTGGATAGCAACATTAAAGCGACCCTTGGCAGAAATATCAAGCACCAAGCAGATAACATGTCCCAGAGTCGCATGTATATCGGAACTACGTACCCTAATCTTCCTCCGCTGGCAACGTAAGCAGGCGATTCTCACACGAAGAGTGCGACGGGTTTTTCGACTCGGCGAATTTGTTACCGCTGCAGGGTTTTCAGAACTTTTCATACTGAGATACGGGCCGCATCAATCGAGAGGGTCCATCAAAAATTCCGAAAGGTGTTGATGGGGAGTTGTTGGTGTGACGGAGAATGCGTTGAAGTCTGCAGCAAGCTAAGTAGGAGCGGAAAATCCGCTCAACGCTAAACTTGACTAGGCTGCCGAATAAGAACTAGAGCAAGATGCCAGAAAAAGTACCATAAATGACCATATTGGGCTTGTTGTTTTCATGTAAATAGCACTTTGTTGTATCTGTCACTCGATCCGTTTCTCGGACCCTTTTCTCGTAATACCGTACCCCTACCCAAACTCAACCCTGCAACAAGCACTTTGAAAATCACAATGACTTTAATTCATATCGGTCCGTCTTCCATGATCGGTATTGCTAGATCCATCTTTATTGATCACCGTTGTAGTCCTTTTCAAATTCCTCCCCACCGTATCCGCTACCCATAAAGCAACCTTCGTCCACGAGCTAAAACAACTCAAATCCCTACCCAGCGTTCTCGACGGACGATTAATCGTAGGAGGACCATCAGTGACCGATCCGATCGAGAAGAGTAAAGGGTTTCATTATGCGTTGCTCAGTTATCATAAGAATCGCGAGGCGTTGACGGAGTATCAAGCTAGTAAAGAACATCACAGGTAAGTGTGATCGGTTGAGAAAGCAAGGTTGAAGCTAATTTTGTGAAGAGTTACCGAAACTTACATGTTTCCGTACAAGGAAGATTTGATGAGATTTGATTTCGAAGTTGATGTGGAAGATGAATATATGTGTCGGTCGATTGGAGATGGGTTGATGAAAGGGTTTGTAAACCAGGCGCAGGAAGAATAAGTGGCTGTAGGGGTAGGGATAAGTGAATAGAGAAAGCAACTTCATCCACACGCAATAATAGACAATCAAGAACTTTGAGAGCTGCGTTTCTCAGTTTCTTTTAATTTTAGAATAGCACAATTGGCTTGCTTCCGACTCGTTCAGCCTCAGCATTCAAAGCCGTAATCTCCGCCTCAACCAATGGAATACCTGTCTTCATTCTCTCTTCATATCTTAGTTGTTCCATTTCCCCTGGAAAATATATCCGGTCGACACCAGCTGCCTTATCCGATCCAACAACCCGCTGATACAAGTAGTCCATCCGTTCTTTAAAGTCTTCCAAGCTCATAAAAAGGTCCGGCTTGATAGCTATAAGGAAGTGACCCACATCTGCAGGCTTCGAGGGGTCGTATGGATTCGTGACATGGCCAGCAAATGCAGATCCGGAGAGTACTCCAGAGAAAACATCCATCATAATTGACAATCCTGAGCCTTTCGGTCCGCCCATGGGCAGCATGACTCCTTTCAATGCCTCCGACGGATCATCGGTTGGCTTACCTTCAGCATCTAAAGCCCAGTCAAGGGGAATTTTCTCACCCCTTCGTTTTGCTTTGTAAATCTTTCCGCGTGCGGCAACAGAAGGTGCCATGTCGAGAATGAATGGTCGCTCTTTCCCAGCCGGTGCACCACACGCAATAGGGGAGACTCCCATGAGTTTTGACTGTCCTCCCCACACGGGCAATGCGGGAGAAGAATTCGTGAAGACAAGACTCATCATACCTGCATCAATAGCTTGCTGCACCACCCAAGCTGACATGCCGAAATGGTTCGAATGCTTGATGGACACCATGCCGATGCCAAATTCTTTTCCCATCTCGATCGCGCATTGCATGCCTTGGTGCGCTGCCAGAAAGCCGAAACCATTCTTTCCGTCGACCTACATTTAGGTTAATATGCTATATATCTCAGCGGGGGAAGGACTTACTTGAGCAACTACAGGAGTCAGCTTCTTCAGCTCCGGTGTGGCTTTTGCATCGAGGACTCCTTGGGCTACACGATCCATGTAGGACGGGATTCGATTCATCCCACTAGAAAATTCGAGCTTTGTAAAACTCCATAAACTCAATGGATAGGCAAGTCCAACTCACTGTGTGTCTACGCCTCGCATATCGGCTTTAATGAGGCAATCCGAAATAATTGCTGCATTGGCTGCAGCTACGCCATTTCCAACGAGTACTCCTTCAACGAAATCTTTCGCCGCAGAAGCTGTAACATAGCTGTACTTGGTATCTGTTTCTGCCATTTTGAATGTTTTTGTGCAGAGTTTCGAGTTTCGAATTCTTTCGTCGAGTCCGAAGCTTTTAATAGCTCGAAATGATCGTGGGGAAGGAGCGGGGCTGTAAACAGAAGTGGGGCAGAGAGTTGCGGATTTCCCGTCCGGTCAGGCCTGTCCCTATTGAGAAAGCAAGTATTTGACTTTCAAACTCTTATAACGAGAGAACCATTATCAGGGCTACAAAAGAAATATTGTTATGCTAGTGTGAAACAGGTTCAGTAGGGATTGTGGATTATCACTAGAGCATCTACCGCCTCGAGACTAAGTTTGATCTATTTCTTATTAGTATCCATGTTATGAGGACACAGCGTTGTGCAAATCTCCATGAAGTACCTCAAAACCAAGGGTTTCCCTCTTTGCGGAGTAATAGCCAATACACTCATGTCTCGAGCTGTATAGCTGAAGACACTGCAAAGATAATTGTTCTCGCTTGGCTCGATTGACCCCTTTTTATTCATAGCTACGCGTATGAGGGGTGAAGGGAGCTAGTTTTATTGACAAGGCATAGCTTCCCTGGGTTCTTGAAAATACTTAGCGGGCAATAATTCGGGCTATGCTAACGCCGGAGAGCTCCCACCAAGCCTGGCGAGGTGCATTATTACTATAGGTGATTCGACCTTGTATAGGAGATAAACTTGCGAGGTCACGAAAAACACCGGGACAAACTTTACATTCACATGTGCGAGCCCTCCTCCATCCTTAAAAATCTTGTCTCAAAAATCAGACATCTTTAATGAATAATACGAGAAGTATTCTCTATCATGGACTACACGGAATATTCCCCGTATTGGCTATGACCTACAATACGAACGGAGTTTGCGCAAGAACTTATCTTTCCCTCGAGGATTCGTTGGATATTTTCAGCTTTAGATTTTGTTGTGTATCTCGTCTCTGGTAAACAGAATCGACGTCGAGTTGCACTACCCCTCTTTCGCAATTAAGTGCTCCTGCATCATGTTATGCAAGCGGTAGATTATGGCCGGAGGGTGTGGGCAGCCCCCTTTTCTGTCATACTGCTTTTGCATAACACCCATATGTTTCACTTGCTTCCTTAGGGTATTTGAGTGATATGATCTCACAATTGAGTTTTATTCTCATGAAGCAGGCTGCGATTGAGATGCAAGTCTGCCCGGCGAAAAGCCTGCAGCGCAGCAAAAATATGCAGTAACCCGCATGTTAGGCAGAAACGAGTTCTTAGAAGCACGTGGTAATGGTCAGGCTCTCATGCCGATCTGGAATCGTGGTTTAATACCTATTCCAGCCTTGCCACGTCTTCCCTTCAAACCACCTCCAAAGTCATCAGAAATACAAATCCTTCTATCTTCCGTTCCTCACTGCTCATAACTTTGACGCGAGAAAGAAACAATGGATCCACTTTCGATCACTGCCGGCGCGACTGGAATCCTATCGTTTGGAATAACGATATGCCAAAGCCTTGTGGACTACTATGGCTCCTGAAAGGCTTATCCCAAGGATATTGACGCATTATGCCAATACCTAGGAAGAGTCTCGGATATTATGACAAGCCTCAAGATGTGCATCGACAGCTCTACATTCCCGTCCGCCTCCAAAGAACAGGTTGAGTCCTCTATCCGAGCATGTTCTAGCCACGTAGCTGTTCTGAATAAAAAGTTGGAGAAACTTGAGGCCGCTATGCCTCTAGCAGCTCGCCAAAATTCAGTCAAATCTGTGGTCCAGAGGGCAGTGTATCCCTTCAAGAAAAGTACGTTGAAAGGAATCAAAGACTGTGTCGCTTCCCTCGAGGCTAGTTTGGGGCTTGCGGTTGGAGCTTTGGGCATGTAAGTCCCCAATAATCAATCTAAATCTATAACGAGACCAATTATATCTGACTGACTGTCAACCCCCTAGCGACTGTTTAGGATCATTGGATAGCAAGACAACTGCTATAGGGACAAACCTTACCACTGCCAACCAAGGTATCGACACGATGAATCAATCAGTACAGTCGCTTCGTACAGTGAGTGAGCAAGCTCATCAAGCCCTACCCGCCATCAGGGACAACACAGTATCATTGCTTTCGAACACACAGACTGCTGGGAAGAGCCTGGCCAATTTGGAGCAACAATTCCAGACATACGAGACGCATTTGCCGTTACTGCCTCTCATTCAGGAAAACCTCGAGACGCTACCCTCAATAATGGCTTCCATTATCATATCTACATTTAAGGATAATGGCGGTGACCAACTTCAACTTCACACTAGGAGGGCTGTATCTGCAGATATGGTTAAACGATTTAGTACCATTGTAGTAACTCTGGTATCTCATACTCGACAATGACTGACTCTAATGCAGGAAGAAGATATCAAACGCCTGCAGCTCCAATGTATCACCAAGCCCGGCCTGATGCGCGACGAGCTTGATAGTATTGACACTATCATTGAAAGCCAACATCCCGCCTCGAAAGGTTATGCTAGTAGTGGAGAAATCCTAGAGCACCATTCAAAGTTCAAGAAGACCTGTGTTTGTCGAGAATTCTACAGGCCATCTAGGTCATGGCCGTCAAGGAAATACTTCCACATGACAACGAAAACTTTGACAAGTCACCACAGGGGATGCCCACTATTCTCCAGGGTCAGGCAAAGCCAAACAAGTGTGATAGTGGTTAAGGCTATGTGCACTAGCTTTCTAATGAAAGCTGTTGAGGTATCAGTATCTTTGACTAGTGGGGCTGGTGGATTTTCCATAGTGCCATACTTAACACTAAAAACACTTTGTCGAGATGACTCTCCAGCATTTAGATTATTCCCAGAGATACACCAGTTTGCTTTTGCTCATAGAAGGGGGTTATCTAGTGCTTATGTGGCACACATGGAGAACAATTTGCGGGAGCTCACAATTCTTTTCTGTGAAAGCAAAGCTTCCCCGAATGACATAAATAGCAATGGGGAGACTATTCTAGATGTCAGTAAACCACACGTTCTTAAACCTATGTTCTCTGTTAATTGATCGTAGCTTGCCTTGAAATCATTAACTTACTATCTTGACAATGGCTTCAAAACTGATCAACAACTATCCAGTGGGCGGATGAATCTACTTGTTGGTATTGCCCAACTTGGGGTACCAATAAATGTCACTCGACTCGTTCCCTACCAAAAACTTGAAGGACCTACTAGGTCAGCGATAATATTCTTAAATAATCCATGAAAATCCGCTTATTTACTAAGTTTTCGACGAAAAGCGCTTTTAAGACCATTATGTGTCTGGAGCGCAATGATAACATCCCCGCTGCATACCACTCATGGCCATCGCTCCTTGAGTTTGGAACACTGCCCGGTCCAGAGGAGTTAACTTTCGACCCGTTATTCATCTTTAAAGTGATAGGTGATTTCCCCGAATACATGGATTGTGAGTTTAAATTTAATTAAAAGGTTGAATAGCTTTATCTAATGCTTTGTCTTATAGTTTATGACTGCGGTGCTTTCACATCTACAGTTCTTGCCAGGTCTGCAACCGAGTTCAAAAGGACACTCATCAAGCATCCCGATAGTATAAACGAGAGAAAAGACTAGGTCAGGTTCCATTGCACTTGTGTGCTAAGTGGCCATGGGGAACAAATCAGCTCCTCGCTGTCGGAGCAGCTACCGATATCACTGATAATGACGGACTATAGCCAATAGATTATGCCTCCAAGCTCAATGATCTAGAGTCCATAGAAGCTCTCCTAGCCGTCGACAGTCCTGTTACGATTCCAAGTACCCCAGACAGTATGTATACCCAAGCAGCAATGTCGGCAAAGACTCATCTGCAACAATTAAAGTTTGACATGTTCTGTACTGCCCTGGTGGACAGGCGGATACGACTAACCGAGTTAGCTAAGCAGATACTTTTACCTGCAGATTTTGAAATTCTTGTTACATCTTCCCCCGGCCTTCTAGACAGAAATTCTGGAGAGGTATATCAAAAAATAAGGGATGCAGGACATAGTGTACCGTGTGCTCTAAATGCCCCTAGCGGTCATACTACTGTATTCCACACGCTTTATCTTACATCCGACGAGATGGAAGCACTATATCGCGCTGGTTTCCGAGACATCGATAGCCTTGACGACAACCAGAGAATGCCACTCATGCGACAGGCATGTTATGTGCCGTCTATAAGCGCAGATACTTTCCACTGGTTGATCTCAAAGGGAGCAAATCCGTTGAGAATAGTCGATGCTTGTGGAGTCAGTCAGATGAGCTATGTAGCTTTGAGATTATCATCATGGACTTCGCGCTTGTTTTGCCATCTCCATGGCCACGCGGTTGGTCCGTATTCAGAGACCCACGATATTTCTGATTCATAATTCTCCGTGTTGGCACTGTCTCTCAAACTTCTCGGTCGGAACTCCCAGACAACGGGTACTCATGTTTGCGAATGTCGGTGTTCTAAAGGCTCGTGCACACCATTCGGCATATTCTTAAATCATAGCTGGTGGTTGATTCGTATTCACGAGGAATGTCCAAGCCAATGGAAGAATCCTCGAACAGGGAAAGGAGGATCAAAAAGCCCGCAAATATGTGCAGCATCCACTCGTTATTCTTTGTCTTCTTTCGCAAATTGGATTCTGAGAGTTTTTGACGAGGAAGAAGACATCCAAGAAACTTCTTTTGAGGAGATTACTCGGATGTTTCTATTCAACGAGCTTCAACTCACACAAACCTGTTGCCAACTACCATTATGGTTCGAATTTGGAGATCGTTTCTCATCCAGGCAACAAGATGAAGTCTGCGAGATTCAAAATGAAGAAAAGGAGCTCATTCTGGAATTTGAGTCTCTCTATACAGAAGCCAATCGCAGACGACAAACCTTCCCTGGATCTTTCTGTGATTTCCTCTTCGAATTCATGAATGAGCTTGACGATAGACCACGAGGTCAGATTAGTAAGGAGAACGCAGAAGGAATTCGAGAACTAGGAGTTGTCCTTCACGCGGATGGTGCAGAGGTCTGAACTTGTATCTTCATGCCTGGGAGCTCTTTGCTCGTGCAGCTTAGGCTTCACACCTCTACCGAGACGGGCTTCAATCTATAGAGGCTCTGAAAAGTGCTATAATAACCGAAGTAAGTATTTTCTCGTCGAAACATGGATTAACTCAGGGGCATTGCTGATTGAAGTCAGAGCAGCAATTGTTTTGACCCAAATCCAGGGTCAAAAGCACTTGTCTTGCCTTTTCGCCTGGCTTTTCCTATCTCGCCAGTCTCTCTTTTGTCTTCTTTTATGCATAGGATGGTTCCACAGCAGAGACAGAAGCCTTACTTGATTATTACTTCGGTTTCTTTATTGTTTAAATGGGAAAGGGCAAAAGGCATGGAGTGGGTATAGCAAGAGCAAAGCGCAGGAAGGGGAAGGGGGAGAAGGAATTCAAGCAGTTAGGTACAGTAAATGGGAGTAAGCTTGTGTCCAACCTATACACGTCTAGCAGAAAGTAGGAAGAGGTGGCGTAGAGTGAAGCCCGAGGGAAAGATTTACTTGGAAGAAGGCCCTGATATGTCCCGTAGTAGTTCACTGCAATGCAAAGACAAGTTGGGTCACGAAGTCGCAAACAATCGCCTCGCTCCTTTTCCCAATATTTTTCCATTCTGCAAACCTAACAATACACGAAAAAAGTCAAATAAATTCTTGCGGGTGCGCCCTGTGTCTTCCCATGTCCCCCATCTCATGCGTCTCCCCCGTCCACCTAGCCTGCATAGGCGGCCTCACATAGCTAGGACTCTCAGGATGCCTCTCCCTCTGCCACTGATCATCCCCCTCCCTCACGTCAGCATTGAGTTGAAACTCCTGGCTTACAATCCGTTGCTTGGCATCCAATCTCGCAGCCTGCTCATCCAACAATAACCTCTTATTCAACCTCATCTTGTTATATATATAGGCCCCCGCAGCGACAGTAATAAGGAATGTGATAACCAACACGATGTCGTTGATAGTGTTATTTTTGCTTTTCTGCGCGAAGAGGACGCCGACGTAAACGAGGATGATTTGTTTGGGGAGCGTGGCGAAGGTTGCGATCGCGAAGTACCAGAACTTGACGTTGCAGGTCGAGAATACGGCGGTGGAGAAGTGGGAGGGTATTACGGAGAACCGAACTATAAGTACAATCTTTGAGGAAGCTGTTAGGGTTTGTGTTGGTATGGGGTTGGAGGGGCCGTACCAGGAATCCACCGTCTCTGGTGAGGCGTGCCAGTGCGCCGTAGTTGAGATTTGTGCGTTCGAGTTTGACGGCTTTTCTTCTAAAAGCGTACTTGAAAGCGTACCATGTCCCAACTGCACGACTTCTGTTAAAGGAGTTCTCGTTGAGGGGGCGGGGGTTCAGGGAATGGAAAACTTACTCTCCCCGAGGAAAGTTCCAGCGGCAACGACGGCAAAGCCTATCCAGAGTCCATAAACAACACCACAAAGTAAAGCAACAATCTCATGGCCAAATAAAGGCGGGAAAGAAATAATGATCAAAATAATTATCGGAATGAGAAACCCCGCAGGTAGGTCCCGGATCTTTTCTGATGCTGGTCTAATGGCCTATCCAAATTAGTACCATTGCTTCTCCCAAGGGAGAGAGAATAGAGGATATACATTTACAACTTGATCATGGCGTATAACAATCACGGCAGACAGTGCTATTACAACAAGTGCCACAATCCACAACGCTTCTTTCTGTTAGCTGGACCCCGCATTTGGAACTCAGGTTTTCCCCACGTATATATTTCGGCTTCGTAACAAAATCTTTCCATTGTACATCTCTATATTCGAACTCCTCCTCTTCTGGATTTGGCTGACCGGACTTTTGCTTCTTGGACACCATGGTCGGTCGTTGTCCTGATACTCAGGGGTAAACACTAGCGGGACTCGTGATCCAAAATAGGGGGTAACGTCGAGTAGAAAGGAATGAACAGCGTAGCAAACATAACCAGAACGAGCGATTGGAGGCTAAGAAGCTTTATGTTAAAAGAGAGTGAAGTTCGTAAATGATCGTGTTCTCAGCACTTCGCGATATGCGACGTGGAAACTGTGCGGCGCGAAGCAGAGCGTGTTTGAGGGAGCGGTTTCAGCTACGGTGGGCCGCCAGCGATGATTTGCGATGGATTGAAAGGATTCATCTAGGGGAAAGGCACAGATCTACGGGATCTACAAGACCGGTAAACCCGGTACTTGTACAGAGGAGGATGGCCTGGATGGGAAGATACGAGAAAAAGACAGAAGTTCTTACGGGAGAAAGTATGTAAGATTGGAATTTTAGCCCCCAAATACCTATTTTGGTCCCCTAAATCCTTTAAATCCTTTCAGCTGAGGGAGGCTGAGATACTTCGTGTTGCTATTTATTAGAGGTGCCTTATCGTGAGGTCATAATGCCTGAATAGATACGGATCCCGGATATATTGCAAGGTGTTATCTGCATTGTTCATCTTGTGGATTCGCAGCATATTGATTGGAAAGGGGTATCACGTGTCAAGACGAAAACCTAAGATTATAAAACCCTCGAGGTTGAACATCAGAGTGAAACAAGTGTTCTATGATGAACTATTCTACTAAATAGAAAGAGAATATAACAAAGAGAATTTGGGCCGGTGTACAGCGATGCAATATATGTCATGTGACTGGGTAAGTCATCCGGCATATCCACAATTCTCTGACAACACGAAGTCAATATCTTTGCGCTCATAAGTGATATATAAGAATAGTCACTAGATCTGAAGCTAGAGAAGTTACATTTTGAAAATAATTCTCATACATCCAGATTTCAGACGTCCTGACTTCAAACTGACAAGTTGTCAACTGAAACCCGAGTTCGGGATGAAGACTAAACAGGCCATGAATTTACACCGGAAGCTTTTTAAAACTTACGAAATAGTTCACTTTATACGCGTAGCTATGCATTTGTCAGCTATACAAAACAGCAATATTCTCTGATTATTGAGCTATGTAGCTAGAGAAAATGGCATTGCAAAGTCTCCCAATCAACGGAACCTCGACGTTGTCTTCTCGCACTACTTCTTAAATGTCTTCGCAAATCCCTTTCCGGCTTTTTCCTGGTCTTTAATGCCGTTAAGCACCTCCTTCCTTGGATTATTGGGCTATTTCCCTCACGGAAGCATGTATCTTTCACCGTCGTCAACTGTCACCTCTTTCAAAACACCTGCCCAAAGTGCTGTATTTGCGCCATGTAGAGCCAAAAGTAATACGAACAGCGACACCCATATAATCAGGCGGAGTGTCGAATTAAAAATAGCAGTACGCAGCTTTCCCGTATTGAGCGTACGTAATGCTCGCAATACTGCTTAGATCATGTTTTGCCGCAACCCGTGCTCCTGATGACAGCGGCCGCCTTACGCTCGGAGCGAGCGCTGATATAATTAGTTGCACCTTTTGAGTAGTAGTAAAGAGACTATTTAGCCGTAGGTTCAACGTCTTATGGGAGGAGTAAAAGTCATTAGAATAAGCGGTTCATCAAATGACTCAAACCGCATCCGCCAAGTGAAGTTGTTTATGACTGAGACTGCATCTATGACTTTCCAAATGACTAAGACTGCACTCTCCACCAAAAGAAATCCTCGGATGCTTTACTGCAACAGACTTTAAGCTTAGAGTTGGCGCGTAGAAAACTGTATAGGTCGCCTCTGGAGATGAATTCTAGAACTGGAAATCCCGTCCTGGGTTCTATTTGCACAAGCCTATGTTGGTATATATCGGCTTATATATCATTGCTCTTGGTAACTAAGATTGGGAAACTTCTACATTTTGTCTGAAAGCCTTGAAATATAAGTAAGTAGGTGTAAAAAGATTGTTACGACTTCGCTTATGTAACAGTTTGGAGACGTCAACAAGGGAGGAAATGCGGGGTTATTTTCATCACTTACCAAAAGAGTCATATATGGCAACCAAAATACCCCATCAAGACGAAGGTATGTTTATCCTGAAGTTATACTGCTACCTCAGGTAAATCTCAAGCAATATAAATTACTTCGAATTGTAAATAATATTGGAGAAGAGAAGAAGATTGTTTGAGACGTTCCTAATTCAACATCCTATCCGCGCGACTAAAGAGTCAAAGATAATCTCGATCTATGTGAATTCAACAGCAGGAAGCGGAGTGGAGTGGGTTTATATATGCATGACAAGAAAACACGTACCCACTCGCAGGTAAACATTCACAACTGCCCACTTCCTCAAAAGCACCCAATATTCCCCTCCGCAGCTTTTCTCATTCCCTCCCACCAACCTTCCCCACGCAATAATCACCACAAGATGTTATTCTCATCACTAAAAGCCATTGCCATCTTTCTCCTAGGAACCGAAGCTCGGTATATCAAGAGAAGCGACGGCCTTACGATCCGTAGCAGATATCCGGTTGCGAAACAACCACTTAGCGACATCGTTGCGGGCCCTGTTACCCTACCGCTCAGGAAGATACAGTCTCGAGATTCTGCTCTGTATAGCTTTGTTACGGTGCCTAATGGCACGACTATTTCGATAGATGCATTGAGGGGTGGAACTGAGTTCTCGGCGCAGGTTGTGCTTGGTGATAGCACAGTTGAGCTGCTTGTCGATACGGGATCGAGCGATACTGTAAGTAGAGTAACTTCTCTCTGTCTCTTCTCTCCAGTTCCTATAGGTAATCTTTGATATTGCGGTGTTATATTGGGACTCTCAAAGAGTGTTTCCGGCTAGCTTTCCCCATTTCAGCTCTATACAGACGTCAAAGTATTGACTTCTTGTACGTTGTAGTGGGCTGTTCAGACTGGATTCACCTGCACTGATTTCCAAACCGGAGTGCCTACATCAGAGGCTGTGTGTGGCTTCGGTCCTGTCTACACCCCGTCAAGTACCTTCAAGAGGATTCCCAACGAGACTCTCTCCATCGAGTATGGAGATCACGAAACCGCCCACGGAGTTTTCGGAACCGAGAAAGTCACAGTTGGTGGTATTACCGTCGACCAGCAGATTGCCGTGGTCACGGAGGCGATGTGGTCAGGAGATAGAGTTACATCTGGTATCATAGGTCTCGCATATCCAGCCATGTAAGTTTGTCTGTCTATCACGTACTCCAGTGCATCAACCGGCCTCCCCCAGAACATCAGAGCTTACTACACTCCATATCATATCATGAAGCATGCTATACCTTAGACTGACCTCCAATCCCAGAACAGAAGCGTTCAGCAGGAACCACACCCGCACACCCTACGACCCAATCTTCACCAGCATGTTCAAAGCCAAGCTAATCTCCAACAACTACTTCTCCCTAATCATCGAGCGTAACATCTCCGGGCCCGCTGGCTACCTCTCCTTCGGCGGCGTCCCACCCATCGCATTCACGCAGAACTTCACCGCAACCCCCATCATGATAACCACGATCCCCGGGTACCCCAAGGCCGTCGACTTCTACACTATTAACATCGACCGCATGCAAGTCAACGGCAAGCCCATCCCTACCTCCGGCGGATCCGCTATCGAATACATTATTGATTCCGGCACGACGCTCAACTACATCCCCTCGTCCGTCGCGAAGGCTATCAATGCCGCGTACGAGCCGCCCGCGAAGTACAGCGCTGCCGGTGGTGCATATGTTGTGCCCTGCAACGCTATGCCTCCGGCTGTTAGTGTGGATATTGGCGGTACGGCGTTCCCGATCAATCCGCTGGATATGATTATACAAATGGCGAATGACACTTGTGTTAGCACGTGGAATGATGGGGGACCTTCAATCTCGCACGATTTGTATATTTTGGGAGACGCGTTTATGAAAAACGTGGTTAGTTTGTTCGATGTTGGGGCTGCGAGTATGCAGTTCGCGGGAAGGGAGTTTTAGACTAGGTATTTAGAGTGCATAGAATTTGGGGGTGGACGATGCGTACTGAGTATAGATGGGCAATTTTAGATGAAATGCCGATTGCCTGTGCCATTGTTCTGGTATATTTCGTGGAAGGTTAAAAATTCTTATGGAGGCTTCGAGAACGTTTCCATGTTATTGCAGCTAGGTAGGAGTTGGGTATTTTGACTGGATTCTGCATTTTGAACCCAATTAGCTCACATGCCCAAATTGTGGGACGAATATCTATATGGCGTGGTTTGGAGTTCTAGGTATACGAATAGCCCGAACATGGAGAAGTTTTGACCAAGCTGCAGGCACCGTGGCGTAGCGTAGCGTGGATGACCACCTGTTCCCGGAAAGTCGGAGGAGGTAGAATGTGAAGTAACCAAATAACAATTGCCGAACTCCTCAGCTATGGTGGTATCTTATGTATCTTATGCATCTTTCACTCCAACCTCAACAGCAAAACTTCCCCCAATATCGACCATTCCTGCCCTCCCTTTCGCGGTATCCTCACCCCCCTCCAACTCCAAAACGCCCCTCGACTCCCTCTCCTCCTCAAACTCAAGAACAGCCTCCAAACTCTCATTGTCGCTCCCCACAAAACTTCCAAAATGAATCGCAACCGTATTGCGACTCTTCACTTCCTCATGGATATCTAAAGCATCACCCGGACTAGCATGCAAAGCACTAGGAACCGCATCATGACTGAGCCTCAGTCCCAAGCGTGAAATGAAGCCTAAAGTCCCACCACGCCATATGGGCACGAAAGAAACATCGAAGGGTCCGAGACTTTCGCCTATTTCTTTGAAAATGGGACATATGGCAGGGGAAGAAGCCGAGCGGCGGTACCCCGTGTCGCCTGCATGGTAGATGGCGCTTTTCCGTTTCGCTTTGGCAAGGGTGGCTTCGTCTTCTGATCCGATGAGATGCTCTATGACCCAACCACACCAAAGCGTCGTGCCTTGGTCCAAGGCGCCGCGGCCAGAATTGTGTTGTGCTGGGATGCAGGTGAAGCGGAGTGTTTCTTCTGTTGGAGACACAGCTGGAGGGTGCCCGAAGTCTTGGGCGCTAAAGTTTCGGCTTTGCCACCAATCCAGCTCGGTGACTTTGTCGGGCGATATACCGAGCGCACGGAGCCAGGATTTGTTGCCCAGGGGCACAAAGTACCGAGCTTCCGGGAACCTTTGAAGGATTGCTTGGATAGTGGGGAGATCGAGGTGGTCGTAGTGATTGTGTGATATTACTACTGCATCACAGCCTACTTTTCATTAGCAGGATATCTCGAAGTTATACAATGATAGAAATACCTGGCAAATCAGTCACCTGACATGGCGACCCCCTCAACCTCTGCGGGCCTGTATACTGCGTAGGACCAGCTCTAGCACTGAAGATAGGGTCATATACGACATAGAAGCTCTTCCCGTTTTCCAGGGACTGTTCGGTGAGAACGCCCGCATGGCCCAGCGCTGTCGCAACAATACACTTATCTCTCGCCAGGCCACGCTTCTGCAACGTCGACGCGCCCCAGTCCGGAACGACAACTTTCACATCTTTAGTGTCGGGGTGCTTCTTCGAAAGATCTTCGTACCATTCTAAAGGGAATTTTGACTGTAGGAGTTCGGTCCAATTCGGGGGGTCGGCTGAGGGCCAGGGGTTCTTGAAAGCTGTGCCTTGGGAGTTGGCGTGGTGTGAGGGATGCGCTGATTTAGTGTTGGTGGTTGACCAAGGAGGCCATGATTTCGTTCTAGACATCGTGAATATTTACGTTGGTCCCGATTTGTGTATTTCTTAGCTATATATCTCGGGTTGACATATAGCATATAGCAGATGCTTGAAGGAGGGGAGGTTCACCAGGTTGGATATATGACATGACGTAGCGTTTTGGGAAGCGACAATCATGCCGCACGTGCCTCATGTTATCGTCCTTGTGGAAGTTGAACATTCAAGTCAAGCTATATATTCAGATTTCTTGTTTACTAAGGTAGGGAGGTACCTAGGCATGAGTCTCGTATCAGTCCTTGCCGTAGGTATTCCACAATAATATACCAGCTCCACTTTTACCCCTTATCCTCACCACTTCGCTTGCTACATGGCTGATCTTTACCTTATACTAAGATTACATATACGACAGTTACTATAGTAGGAAGGGACTCTGTCCGACTTTTGTTTAGATCCTTTATTGCAATGTTTCAATAAATAGAGAAGCAAACTAATAGACGAACGATTGTATGCATTAACAGCATTTTGAGATTTGGCAGCAATTTCGGATAATCTGCCACATATCTCATCTTTAGTTATGTAGACCACCAAGTATGTACAGTCATTTCCATTAGGAATTCAATGGGGTTTCAGATATCTGCTCAACGCATCTACTGCGAAAGACATGGGGACCGATGACCAGGTCCTTCCAAGGTCCGCAGTAGCTTGAAGATGATAACCCCATCTGAACACGGAAGCAGATTCTTATACTACGAGAAAAGCACGATTCCGAGTAGTTCGGAGAGCCGTCGTTGCCTGTCATTAATCCCAAGTCCTACAGCTGGACGACCTATAAAACCTCATCTTAGAATAATAATTTCATCCTCACCACATGTTACAGACGACATCTGCAAGGTTCACTTTCTCTTGCAGATGCCGAGGGATTGACTAACGTCTTCCAGAAGTAGCAATAGCGCAATCTGAAAATTTCGGTCGAGGTCTTTCGCTCAGGTCATCTGCCGACCGCGAGAAGTGAACGAATGAATAACAATATTACTTGACAGCAGAGTATGACTTGACAGCAGCATATTCCATATAGAAAACAACCCCCGTCCCGAACCCCGCTCGCTTTTCCCGAAACTGAAATTACCTGTTACCTGTCATAAGTCTCCAGAATCATCTCGGCCGTGTCGAAATACGACGAGCTAGTCATGGGCATTCTCTCTCTCAATGCTTATAGTAATAATAAAGAAGGAACATCAGCAAGAACTTACTAACTCCTTATACTTATATCCCACCATCTCAGTAAAGTAACCCAATCAAGCACCAAACACCATCCGCCATCCACCATTTACCAGAAACCGGCGAATCATATCATCATTCATGCGAGCGTGGAAAAAAGCGTATAGACCACTGCATTCCGTAGAGTGAGTGACACGAGGTCACTTTCAAATACATGGGAATAGTAAGTACATCATTTGATTCCTGAAGAACTGATTATCAACTATTTCAGGGATACGACGAGGCGCTTCAGCAGTGGATGTTGATGTGCCAGACCTTGACAGAGATCTACTATATACTCCACGCAAAATTTAAAGTTGACACCACTTCCATCCTGAACGATTTGTCAAACGTCTGTTCTTCGAATTAAAACGGGGAGTCCACAACCCCTATTCCACCTAGCTCAACTAGATGAACGACCGAACGACTTTATCTTTTCTTTGACAGCAAACCCAGCGCCAACTCCAAATCTAAATCTGGATTCCAATTCCCCTCCTCTCCCTAACCAGAAATCTTTTCAACATCGACGTCCCGCACCCTATACTCTATAACTCCACAAAACCTTTTTTTTTTTGGCAAAATGAAATGGACATCCAACGGCCATTTGTGTTCTAACTAGAATATGCCAACATCTATAGGTTTGTGGGAAGGGACAATTGGGTTATATAGTAGGTTCCTGTGCGGTGATAATGCGGCGACGTTCGAAGATATCCACCTACACTTAAAAAAGCAGTTGACGGACGAATAGCTTAAATAAACGACTTCAGGGAAATTAAATAAAGGGGCATTGCATAAATTGGTTTACACATATACTTTTTAAATTTCAAATCAAGTCATGTCAAGCTAGGATGCATAAGCCCACCTAGCATGCATGCAGATATCCCTAATCTCTTTTTCTTCAATACGCCACGCCTCTCCGTATCCCAATCCAGCCCCGCGCAAGCAAAATGCTTTAAATACAACCCCCAGAAACGAACGCACCCCGCCATACCATCTACCCAATCTACGGCAAATATAAACCCCCAGCCATGATCAAATTCATCCTCGTGAATTTGACCTTGTAAACCGGGCTCTTCTTCGTTGGGAACGCAGATATCTGATCCGGTGTAATCATCGTATCCTTGTTCTTTTTCTTAACCCCACTGGCAGCAGGTTGCGAGCCTGCAGCAGCAACATTGATTCTTGTCGCATCAGCCTGCCCACCCGTACCAACAATCTCGCCTGCACCATCTTTGTATGGATCGGAGGGCAACTCAACGTCCCAGACTCGAACTGTGCCGTCTGCGCCGCCGGAGACGAGAACCGTGGACTCGACGCTGAAGGAGAGGGACCAGATACCGCCTTTGCCGTGGCCTCTACAGCGTTTAATCATAGTGCCTTTGGCGAGGTCCCAGAGGATGATAGTCCCGCCTGCGTCAGCTGAAGCGAGGATCTTGCCAGAGGGCGCACATTCGATGGCGGAGATATATTCATTGTGGCCGGGGAAAACACGGACACAATCGCCGGTTGCAAAGGCCCACATGCGGACGGACTTGTCGACTTGGTCGCTAGCGGAGAAGATGTATGCGCCGTTTGGGTGCCATGCTACTTGGTTGACGCTTGAGTCGTGGCCGATTAAGAGGCGGAGGTAAGAGATGTGATCTTGGCCCCAGATGCGTACAGTCTTATCCCAACCGCAGCTTGCAAAGTAATGGCCGAATGGACCCCAGCGGACATTCCAGACTGGACCCTCGTGACCCTTGAAAACACAAAGACAGGTGAACGTTTCTAGAGACCACATGCGAACGGTTTTATCTGCGGACGATGAAAGTAGCATTCTGGGAGCAGTAGCTTCCTCATTACCATCGGGGCCTATTATGGAAGGGGAGAAAGATACACTGTATACCGGGCCAGCGTGACCTATGAGGCGGCGAGAACTCGACGGGGGAGGGTCATTAGGACCAGAAGGTAGACTGGATTTGAGGATATCGCCATGGAGATGCCAAATGCGAACGTATGACTCTTCTGTACCAGCTGCGACAAGGTTTGTGTCGTCAGAAAATTCTATGCAGGTGATGCTATTGTATGTCAGCAAAGTCTTATACAGAGATTGGGCGACCTACGTGTCGAGCGTGTTGTGGAAGGTAAACATGCAAATAGAAACAGCAGCGCCAATTCCACCTGTGCGACTCTCGATCCTGAACCTATCTCTGTTCTCTTTGATCTTCTGGACCTCCATTGTTACGTCTCTTGCTCGTGATGGGGGATAAGGAATGTCGGTGCGAGCTGGTCCATCAGCACTGTCCTCTCGCTTGATATTTCGATCGAATTCTTCGACTAAAGATGGCTTTCCCAGGTCTGCTGGATTTTTGAGATCTTCATCTTCCAAATCAGCCCGAACATCTGCCGCCAAATCGGGGTCCATGGCTACTGAGCCCAACTTCAGTGTAATAGTATTCGACATGATGTCCTTGTTGGTGACGCCTGTGAAAGCTCCAGGAATACCCTCTTGTAGACCACTCTCCTCGCCGTCGATGCCGTTGGCTTGATTGATGATTGCCTCGAAGCTGAACTGATCAATGGGGCCACGGCTGGTTTCTCGAATATCGCAGTAGGTTTGGAGCAAGTAAATAATCACAGATCCACCAGACTTGCTATTCGATTCCAAAAAGGTAAGGAGGTTGAAGTAAACGTGCGTGTTGAGAGGGATCCTGTACTTGTTCTCTATGTAGAGCTTGGTGATGGAGTTTTCCCGGAGCTGTACGGACTGCTGTATGGTGCTGAGGGTTCGAAGTTCATCCTGGTGAATTGTCTCGAACTGGGGACCAAACTCGCGTATAAACGAGTCGCCATCTTTGGGGAAGCCATCTTGGACAAGATCAATGTAGGAGTAAATGAACATTGGCCATAGAAGGCGGTGAAGTTCGTACTGCTGATTGTTAGCCTGTGCAAACGGGCCGGTATTTGCTGGAGCCGACCTTGTAGATGTCGAGATTTGATTCAACCCAGTTGCTGAGTAGTCGATAGGCCTTGGAATACTTTAGAGTCCCAGAGTCTTCCACTCTATCATGGATTGGTTTTCCCTCTTTGTCCAGGTGTGATGATTCTTGTCGAAGCATCTGCTCCGTTCGGTTGTATCCCTTTTTTACAAGGTACTCGATAACCTGGGGAGTGAGGTCAGCGTTGAAGGGAGTATAGTAGTCCATCTTTGCTGGCTTCAGAGGAGCAAATGCTGTCTAGGTGGGTATGAAGATGTTGAAATGAACTGCAATGAAGAAAAAATGAATAAAAATGGATCTTGTAGCAAAGACAAGGTGCAATTGATTAGATGTTTGCTGGGAATCTTCGGGATGCTGAAGCGCAAGCAATTCAACTGCGACCAAGCGGGATTGCAGAGACGAGGTGAATGCGAAGAATGCATTAAAAGCGAAGCAGTCTTCGGGATCAGCTTGAATTTCGATATTGGGCCGTTTTTGCCTTCGCTTGTGTAACAATCTGGTTTGGCTGCTTGCTTGATTTCGAAAGCCGAGCTAATTCATTCCTCCTGAATCTGACAAATGTTGAACTGCGGATTCTCTGCACTGCCAACAACTATCTTGTTCTCTTCGCAAGACCGCATCTTCTTTCCGCCCTCATCCACAACCCAGACGGTTCGCAAGGACGCATATCGCAAAAGAAAAACGTGACCTTACAATCTGATTCAAATTCTGACTCGACATATTCTGCCCTCCCGCCGGACGATTATCAGCTGCTATAGGCTGTCCCATTCCCGCACTGGGAGGGCCATTTGAGCCCGAAGCTGGATGATTCGACATGTTTGAGTTCCTCCTCTTTGATTAAATAGTATAATACAATACAATACAATACCCTAAATACTATACTCCAATTCTCCCTCGTTCACCGGTCGTAGTCGTACAAGCTCCTACACATTCCCTCAGATGTTTGAAGGCAGAAAGGGTGGGGCAAGATGGGTGATATATAGTGTTGGATGAGAGAAGATAATTTGGCGGGGGTGGTGATGAAAGACGAGATGCTTTTTGGACGAGGTTCTGAAGCGCGAGTGGGGTGCGCGCTAATGTGAGCTTTCCGCAGAGCCGCATGGCCCACAAATATAAAGTGTTGCTGTCAAAGTCTAGAACGTGTTTACTGTATTTACATCTGCAAATAATGCAAACATCCTGCTCTCATCATAAACTTTTCCGCAACCAAAGCCCCACAATAACCTCAACTCACAATGTCACAACCAAAATCAGAAACAGATTCAAGCTTCAAACCCCTCACAAAAGCAGAGCGCATCCAACAGCTCAATGATATCGACAAGGTAAGCAAACATCATAAACATCCCACCCATTTGTCCAAATAACCCCCATCTAACTCGCCCCAGAGCATAACTACTCTCCTGCACTCCGCAGGCCTCGCCCTCAAGACCCTGACCGACTCCTCATCCTCGCCCTCTTCCCGCCGCACCGCCTTCCAATCCGCTTCGGAAAGCTACCTCAAGACGCTGCAAAAAGCCGACATTTCCCTCAAGCGCCAGATCTGGGGCTTAGAAGAAGCGGATATTATCCCCGCGGAAAAGGCTAAAGGCAAGGAGGGGAAAGAAGGAAAGGATATGTTTGCGATGGGGGGTGCGAGGGTGGGTGGTGATGTGAAGGAAGGGAGGGTGGAAGAGGGGGGTATGGGCAAGCTGGATATTGGGTGGTTGAATAGTCGTGGGGGGCGGGTGGAGAGGGACATGGAGGCGGAGCTGTGGGGAAGGGCGAGGATATTCTTAGAGGGGGATGGTAAAGGGAAAGAAGGCGATGAGGAGGGGGATGTTGAGATGGGGAGTTGACGTCAGAAAGATATCTAGGTCGTCAATCATCCATGATTGCAGTACAGAAGTAGTCGTTCCATTAGACCTCTTCACTAGTAAAATGCTTCGCTATCAAAGCAAGACAATGGGGCAGAGTAAGCGATGGATGGTGAAGGCAGACTGTGCCTCTTAATATCAGGCGGCAGCGACTAGATGATGTGTTTTTTTCTGATAACACCTCTCATGTAGATCCAATTCGCACAAAACCATACTATTGTTGTAAGAAGTATAAACAGCATTATTTAAAACATTTGACTAATTGCACTTGCTCCATAATAATTGTTTCTGTAACGTACCTGTAAGTTGTTAGTAGACGCCGGGCCGGATACACTTTCCTGCACTCCACAATTTGAGCGGCCGAAAAGTCTTGGCATCAATCGTCAATCCTCACCAGCTCAGCCAGCCCAGCTTCGTCACCTACAGACAGCTCCCGTCAACAAACAGCTCACAACCTCTCCCATCTCCACGAAATACCTTGATTCGCAATCATGGACATAGGTGGAGAGTCTCCTTGGGGCGGTTCGTCTTTTTAAACATGCCCCAATGTAACCTCACCGAAAATGCTAACATGCACCAACAGACGTCCCATCCAATGCGCCCGGAGCTTCAGAAACTCCATTTGAAGACGATACAGGTAAGCAGGCTCTCCCTCCCACCCAGTTTGGTCTAACGGGTTTATCAGAAGCCTCAAAATCCAAACCCTCATCCTCCGAACCAATACAATCGCTCAAGTCCCCCGCCGGCCGCCAATCACGAACCCCCCGTCGCGCAGTCGCCCATCAAGTACGTCTCGAAACGGTCGACGACCCCCTTGGGCCCCTTGGCGGAGCACCAGCAGCAGCATCGGAAGAGCCCCCCGCACCACCGCAGAAAGAGCAACAAGTCTTAACCCATAATTTGCGCCAACAACCCTCTGCTGCATTACAGCCTCCTGCCAGCGGAAGAAGCTTGCTGGATGGTGTAGATCTGAGTGACGAGCTCGAACCTATTGGCGGGATAGGGGTTAGACATCCGCCTCCGGTACAGCCGAATCAAAGCCAGCAGGTCAGGAGGGAAACGCATCCTAGTGTTAGTATTGAGCAGGCTGCGAAGCCGAGCTTTGAGATTACGGTGGGAGATCCGCATAAGGTTGGGGATTTGACGAGTTCGCATATTGTGTATCTTGTGAGAACGAAGGTATGTCGTTCTTTATCTGTTAAAGAGGGTTGCTCACACGCAATAGACAACCTCCAAAGCCTATCGCCAGGCCGAATTTGCAGTTACGAGACGATACCGAGACTTCCTATGGCTTTACAATGGCCTACATGCGAACAATCCCGGCGTAGTAGTCCCTCCGCCTCCAGAGAAACAGGCCGTAGGACGTTTTGATACCAATTTTGTAGAGTCGAGACGTGCTGCTTTGGAGAGGATGCTGAATAAAACTGCAGCTCATCCTACACTTCAACATGATGGGGATTTAAAACTGTTTTTGGAGAGCGAGGCTTTCAATGTGGATGTCAAACATAAGGAAAGGAAAGAGCCTGGGCTGGGTGAGAGTAAGGGTATGTTTAGTGGACTTGGGATTTCTGTTGGTGGCGGTGGGAAGTTTGTGGAACAAGATGATGTGAGTAAAGTCTACAAAGGTGATGAATTCAGCTAATCTTTACAGTGGTTCCATGATCGCCGGATATACCTGGATGCTCTGGAAAATCAACTCAAGTCCCTACTCAAAGCAATGGACACTGTAGTAATCCAACGTAAAGGCATAGCTGAAGCCGCAGGCGACTTCTCCAACTCCCTGCACGCTCTCTCGGCAGTCGAGCTCTCACCAACTCTCTCCGGACCTCTCGAGGGGCTTTCGGACCTCCAAATCCGCATCAAAGAACTCTACGACCGCCAAGCGCAACAAGACGTCCTCACCCTTGGTATCACCATCGACGAATACATCCGCCTAATAGGTAGTATCAAAATGGCATTCGCCTCTCGTCAGAAAGCTTACCATTCCTGGCACTCCGCTGAATCGGAACTCCAGAAGCGAAGAGTTACACAGGAAAAGTTGTTGAGGCAGGGCAAAACGCAACAAGATCGTTTGACGCAGATGCATGCTGATGTCGCTGATGCTGAGAGGAAGGTACATCAGGCCAGATTGTTGTTTGAGGATATGGGGCGCTTGATGAGGGCGGAGTTGGAGAGGTTTGAGAGGGAGAAGGTGGAGGATTTCAAGAGTGCCGTGGAGACTTTCTTGGAGAGTGCTGTGGAGGCGCAGAAAGAGGTATGCTCTTTTTCCATAACCGTCAACCTACAGTTTCGAAACATGCTAACATACAAAATTAGCTCATCGAACTCTGGGAAACATTCCTAATGCAACTAGACGCTGAAGAAGACGGCCAAGCTTTCTACAAGCCGCCTGTTGAAGCGGCTGCTAGATTGAGTGGCGAGACGAGCGTAGATTCGCAGGCTGCCGGTGTGGCTACAACTGAGGATGATTGATTGTGAAGTAGTATTTCTGTACATAAAATAATTGTGACAATTCTATCTTAATCTAGGCCTATTTGTGCATGCCCGATCAAACAAGTGATAGATTAATTGTTCCCAATCACACACCTGATATGATATGGAAATCCCATCTTTCATCAACGCCTGTCTTTCCTTACATGCATTTGTTTATACACTCTTATTCCACCCTGACATCTTACACTCCCATCCATCTAGCCCTTTAATCACACATTCCAGTTTTCATTCATTGCATGGGATCCATCATTTAGACCCCCACCCCCTTATCAGCCCTCTTCCCCGGCCCCTTCTTCTCATCCTCTACCACCACATTTCCTTTCTTCCCACTCTTCCCCTCACTCCCACTCCCAGCCTCACTCGCACCCGCACTCCCAACCTCCACGCCCGCCGCCCCACTAATCAAATCCATCAAACTATCCTCTCTCACCCCCCCTTCCTCCAAAGCTTCCACACCTCCTTCCACATCCTCAGCATCTATATCCCAGCCCCTGCCAAACTTCTCCCTAAACGCCCTTAGCCGGCCGGCCTCATCCTGCTCCTGGTTCCGAAGCGAGGAGAGAGAAGGGTTCCAGAGCGCGTGGTTCCGTGTGTCTTTTGTGGCGCGGAAGATGGGCGCTGGGGATGTGGTGCGGAGCGTGAATGTGGAGCCGTCGGTTAGGGCTATTACTGTTGGGGAAGGGGGTGTTAGTATCTCAGGAGAGAATCGTAGGACGAGCAAGGAGCAGATGAGGGGAAGGGGAGCATACATTGCGTAAAGGTATATGGGATATGCGGTCGTTGTAATAGCGTTGCGTTTCTTTGCTGTTGCTTGCAGATATTCCCGGCTGGTAATTGAACGCGCCGTAAGGTTTTCGAGGGGAGCGACATGGCGGGGAATATTCGTTTCTTTCGCTGTGTTGAGGTGAGGTGATTTGAGTTGGCGTGAGGTCTGGTTTGCAGAGTAAAGTAAGTATATTTAATTTTTGGGGAGCTTCTACGGTTGCCGGGTTGTGCCGCAGGTGCTGGCAATATAAACTATTTTTTACTTTTTTGGAGGGCTGGACCCGAGGAGAATTTGGGAATTACGAGAAAGTTTCACCCAACCACTCGTTCCCGTTCTCGATCCTGTGGTATTGGAAGATAGGGTTGTGAGGAGCATTGGGATAAGGCATCGATAATGGTTCAATTGGCTGCCAATGGATATGGACGTTCGGTAGTAGCTCGTGGGTTCTTCGAGGTGTTTTATCAATGGTCGAGGGTTGGGTGTTCTGGTGCTAGATCTGCGCAGAGGAGAAGTGAGTTATTCAAGTTGATTTCTCTTTCTTCTACTATTTTGTTGTTGTATATACTGACTATTTGATTGCAGACTTGATCAGTCCCGTCCATTTAAAAACGAGGTTGCAACAGCTTCCACGATGGCAGCCGATCAGTTCAAGAATTCAAGCACGCCATGAATCAACTACGAGCCAGGAGGCAGCTGCAGTCCCAATAGCAGAACTCGAATCCAACAAGACCACAGATGAGAAACCAGAGGCGGAGAAACCAGAGGAGGAGAAACCAGAGGCACCATCACCACCACCACCAGAACCACCCCTCTCGACCGCCCTCCGCAGAACAATGCGCTCTCTTCCCCACCCCGTCGTCCTCCTTACAACCTCCAAGCGGCCCCCTCTTGTCAGCCGCCCACCCCGCCCCGCCTGGTATCGCGCCATGACGCTCTCCTCCCTTACCACCATCTCCCTCTCCCCCGATCCCATCATATCCTTCAACATCCGCCTGCCCTCAAAGACCTATGAGACGATTCTGCACAATCGCAATTTCTTCATCCATATCCTGGCCGCTACTACGGCTGGTGCTAGGCTTGCGGATCTGTTTACGAGGGGTAATGGGGGAGAGGAGGCGTTCCGTGGGATTTTGGAAACTGCTGGGAAGGTTGAGGGAGATGGAGAGGGGGACGGGAAAGGGGAAGAAAAGGGAGAGGGGATAAAAGTTATAGAGCATGAGATTGCGAGTCCTACAATTAATGGAAATAAACAAGGTAGGATTGTGCTTCCGAGGATAGAGGCAGATGGTGTGGTGAAGGTCCTCAGGTGCCAGCTCAGGAAAACGCAAGTCGTTGGGGATCATGCTCTTGTGCTTGGGGAGGTGGTGGAGGTCTTGGGGGAGACGGAGGTAGAGGTAGAGGGAGAGGAGGGGGTGAGCGGCTTGGGATATAATGGGGGGAAGTATAGGGGTAGTGGGGACATTATTGATCTTGAAAGCGGTAAAGATGTATGATATATGTAAAAAGTTGGCAACACAGGTGTAAAATAGATACCCTGCGTACTAGGAGTACAAGCTAAATATGGGTTCTAGAGAGTGGAAGTGTGTAATTTTATATCCCCCTCTTATATGAGCGCAACGCCAGACTGCTATTTTTGTCTTTCTTAAGTGAAGACCTCGGTGTGCAACTTCCAATTTATAGTGTATCTCGTTCAGTTTCACATCATTAACCTTTCCAGAGTCCCAATTTCTATCCCACATCGCAATCTTATTAGATTCGAGCTTTCCAGAATGCAGACTCACAGCAACCCCATTTCATTCCATAAACCCTTCACTATTAGCATTCTAATGTCCCTCTCAGCACATCTGACACAATTCGTATTCCATCAGCGTGCGCGCCATTACTGCCTGGAACTTCACATACTTGCGCTCTCTGTTCTATGACAGGTTTTCCTATGTACAAAACAAGGATCTGTCGACGCAAGAGTATATACACGGAAAACAAGATAACGCAGGTAATAATCAAAGTATAGGGACTAGGTAGAGACCGTCACATTATTTGCGAAAGTTCGAGACCTGGCATAGTGTATCACTTCTGAACCTCAAGCAGAGACTCAAACATGATAGTTTTTACATCCCGAAAGCGGACACAACCTTCCCCCTCACCAAAACTCTCCTCAGTAAGTCATTTTAATATCTCCAAAACCTAAAACGAGGTATCGTCGACGCAGCCGGTGCGACAGTGAAGTCCAAGCAAGACTCATAAGTCTGCTTGACCCCCGTCCCATACCACCACCATTGCAATACCTACACATAAACAGTCAGCTAGCTAGCTCGCAAACCCTCATCTCGAAGCAAAGCAGAAACTTACACACTCCCCAGCAACAGTACACTTCCCTCCCAACTCCGGAATCGTCACGGAAAACGCCGTATTGTTCGCCGGCAGCGTCGTCAAAGTCTCATCCGCATAATCACCCCAATACAGCAACTCTCCCCCAACAATCGTATTGCTCTGCGTATCAACAATACTAACATTCGCCGTTCCGTGATGCAGGACCCTGATATAAGCCTCTATGGCGACTACTTGGCCGACCGTCCAGCTCTGCACGTTGGCTGTGTTGTCTGCGTATTGGAGGCCGCGGCAGAGCCATAGGTTGCAGGCGCTGGCATTGTAGGCCGGGTCTGTGGCCGCGGCTTCGGGCAGTCCTTCGACGTGCGAGGTGTTGTCCGCTGCGATGTTGGCTTGCACGGTTGGGCCGCAGGCCGAGAGGGAGGAGGCGCCGATTGCGCGGGGGTAGGGGCTGGTCAATATGCCGTGGGACAATGCCGTGCTTGCTAATGAAGCTAATGCGAGGAGAGCATCAAGATAATGCATTTTGGAGCTCAGAAGGACAATGTATACTGCTTAATCATAAATTGTAGATCCTTAGAAAGGGAGAGTTGAGTGTGGTTTGCGGACGGGTTTGTCACTGTACACCACTTATATAGTTCTTGCCCGCTTGGTAATGTTTTGATGCCATTTTCATATAATCAGGCTGATCAACTAGGCTATGGTATATCAAGAGGGGAAGCAGAGAGGTCTAAATCACTCGGGGGCACAGATACCCTAGAATCGTTTGCCCATAGAGTTTTCTGACTCGCTACAGTGACTTTCCTTACATAAACTAAATTCAGACGTCTAACGATATGGAGACACATCCACCGCGTGCAGTCCTCAGTATAGTCCCATACCAGGGGGCTGCAAACCCATTTTGGACACTGATCTCATTTCGAAATTGAATCCTCGGCGAGGCTTCTTGCCGATTGATGAGAAAAGAATGATAGACACCAATGCTTGAAATATAAACTAGAGTTATGTATTCTCGACAGCTGTATAAGATTGCCGCACTTCCCGAAAGGGATAAACTAGAATATTACAAATGGCAAATACAGTGTTTAGCCAAAATTAGCGACACCACAATGGAATTACAATTGAGCCATCTTGATTGTTTCGTATATTTTTCCATATTGGCTTGTAGATGAGAACAAGGAGAAGCTCATGGTCACATCCCCACGGGGATATGTGGGTTCGCGGGGCAAAATAAGCCTCATGATGCGGACGGCTTCTCTAACACCTTTAGCCTCAATTTCACTCGCTTGGACTGTCCGAAGATACAATTAGGCACGCGGCTCCTGGTGAACATGCCAAGAGCTAAGTCCTACACGCGAGTTATGTAAACAAAAATAGCAAGGCACGGTAGACCACATTAATTCCTTCAAAGCGAGCACGATGCTCCAGTAATACCCCGAACACACGACCCCTGAAAGCTTACTGGCTCCAGCGAATCTTGTCTTATGAGGCACATAAGCTCGGAGGGGGTCCGGGTCGGGCTGGATATAGTAACTGATAAACAGTCTGTAATGGAGAGGGGTATCAGGATGATATGCTTGGGTGGAATGGGAGTGTGAACTTGGAAACGGCACATAAACAGAAATCTACCTTTAAAACATTTGATTTGCTGGGAAAATCACAGAAAAGCGCTGCTCGTACGGCTAAGACCCAAGAAGAGGAGGCTTTACCTTCTCTGCGCAGAACTTCCTGACGAGTAACGTGTTTTCGATAATGGGCCACTTGATAATCTATGCTTTCAGCTTTCGAAAAGAGAAAAGGGGGAAATGAAAGCAAAGTTTAGCTCAACAGACAGATTCTGGATAGCCATTTGGCGGGAGTAGCCTCAGCTCATGCGTGAGGTTTTACATGTTGGAAAATTAAGAGGATAAGACCTTAAGAGTCCATTATTCGTGCTCTATGTGAAGATAGTGCAGTGATTGATGGATGAAAGAGGAAAGGGGAAGGGAGGAGAGTAAAGGTACACCACAGACCTAGATATACGCGGAATCCTGCTGTAGCGCGTACATTTTAGAACGGGATATCATCCAACTACCCCTCTCCTCTCCTTTCCTTTCCCCTCTGCTCGCAAGATTGTGAGCTACAATCCTCCTTGTTCCACAAACAAAGATCCTGATTGAACAAATACATGTCAGCTCGAATCTGACATACCGTGCATTCAAAATGGGCTGAAGCCTCAAAACCAATTCTGTGTCCTTCTCCCAATTTATTAGTGGGCCCAAATGGCAACGGAGATCTGTCGACCTAATCTGGCCTACATATGAAGCCACTGGATGTATGTGCCCAATATCAATACCGTCTATTTCCTGCTCAATATCTGTAGTATGGAGCCTGTTTATTCTTCCCTCACTGACCGAGCCATAGAACTCTGCAAGCATCTCGTCGACAATGCCTCGCCAGCCCAACACCGCATCGTGGTAGCCCTCGCCGGCCCCCCAGGCTCGGGAAAGTCAACCATCGCAGCAAAAGTCGTGCAGCGCCTCAATGCGACCTCGACCGTATCATTCGCGGCCATAGTCCCCATGGATGGCTTCCATCTTCCCCGCTCGACCCTCGACGCGCTCCCGAACAAACTCGAAGCCTATGCGCGACGCGGGGCAAGCTGGACATTCGATGAGAAGGGCGTGCTGAAGCTAATCAACGTCCTCTCTAAATCTCGGTTTGAAACCTCAGACATTATAATTGCTCCCACTTTCGATCATGCCGCCAAAGATCCTGTGGACGACGGCATAAAGATTACAGCGGATATCACATTTGTGTTGCTGGAAGGCAACTATCTGCTCTTGGATGCGGAGCCGTGGAATCAGATTCAGGGATTGGTGGATGATACATGGTTTGTGGATGTTGATCCAGAGCTTGCGCGGACGAGGATCGCGAAGAGGCATATTGAGGCGGGGATTGAGACGACGTGGGATGCTGCAGTTAGGAGGGCGGAGAGCAATGATTTGCTGAATGGCGTGGAGATCAGGAGGAAATTGGTGAAGCCTGCGGTTGTGATACAGAGTGTGGAGGAATAAGACGCAACACCAACACGCAAACTTTTTGAAGCATATCATTTTGTTGGACTTGGTTGCCCTTTACGATTGATTCAAAACCCATAATTGAAATTGCTTTACAACTATTCATTACTAAAAGTCAGAATAATATCATGCGGCTCAACATGCATCTTCTCAACCCTCTGGACTTGAAGGTAGGACTTCAGCTTTGGCGATAAGTGAGACAATACAGTGCAAAGTATCTGGTCTGGTTCCTGATGAATCAAGCGTATCATATTAGGCAAGATGTAGGCTAGCTCTAGGTACATTAAGCTTTACTAATCTACCTAGGTAGCGTACGCGAATTAGTGATGATCCATTAAATCTTATCCCGTCGCGTATCAATGCGTCAAACGCATCACGCGTCTCTCGTTTTCAAAACCCTTACCTCTAATCACCAACATCCACCTCGTTTTGTCAGATTGACTACATGGCGGCAATCAGGAAATCTAGGGCAGGTAAAGGCCGAAAGAGGGACCTCGTTACGGGTCGTTTCTTGACGGCACCTAGATCTCTCACTCAAACCCGAGCTTCCGGCAGACCACAACACGATCGACAGATTGAAAACCATGGCAGTGGAGATAACGCAGCTGGCGATAGCCCGCCAATTCAGAATCGATTTGTAACAGGAGAGGAGTTTGACGAGCTTGTGAAAAAATGTGTAAGTATAACTGTATAAACTGTGTTCAATCAATGGTGCCTGACAGTACTCCGTATATATATGCTGACGGCTTTTGACAGTATATATTGAAAACCCGTGCCATAGAATACAAGAGGAGAATAAGAACATTCGACACTCATTCGACCAGCTGAGACAGAAATATCTCTCGTCTAAAGCCAACGCGCCGAACGGTGAAATGTCTCAAAAGAGGAGTGATCTTCAGAGTCATGTGAACCCATGCAATCCCCAGGACCACCGAAATGTTCAGAGCAACTACAGGCCCCCAGGTAAATCTTTACAAAGTCAGAGTGTCCAGGCCAGGTATAGCCCTAAACCACCAGTAAATTCTCGGCGGATTCCTCCAAAACCCTATGAAGAGCTATTGAAATCATGGGTAATTTGGATACCACGTCTGCAGCTTTTTGAGATGCTAATACCTGCTTAGTTTGCTCTCTACTACCAGCAGAGAGCCTCAGAGAGAGAAATTCGTTATCTTAAGGATCATCTCGGTGATTTTGCCGACGATTACTATGCCGGAGAACTGCAGGAGCTTCTTGCCCAAAATGAAGAAGATTATCAGGAGCTCAAGGAAGAACTCGAAGCAGAGCTCGAGGAGCTCAAGGAAAAGAGCCAAGAACGGATTGAAGACCTTGAGGTCCTTGAGAGGCACGTTGAGATGTTTACCGGCTGGTCCAAGATCTTCCAAGAAACAGTGCAGGCGGAATGGCCGCGCCGACACGCATCTCGATACAACCGAGTGAAAGTGCTTCTCGTAAGCTGGGCCTCAGATGATTTAGGCGTGAGGGAAGAATTGCCACCATTAGGTCGTGTATTCACCAACTGTTACGGGTATGTGGTCGAACACTATGCTATACCAGACCACCAAGCCTCTACAGCGCTGTCCAAACGCACGTTGAAGTTTATTGAGAATGACTCCAGAAACACTGCTCATCTTCTATTACAGTGGGCATGGTAGCATTCATCCCGACCGAAATGATGCAACATGGGCTGCGTAGGTGGCACAAAGTGGTTGCTGATACAGATGCTAATTAGATGCTAGGTCGTCAGCTCCAGGGTCTCCATGGATGATATCAAGTGGCATTCAAAGTATGCTGGAAGATTCACATTCCGATGTTGTCTTACTACACGACGCATGCTCTTCAGCAGACACCGCTGTGACGAAAATATCGCCATTTTGCGGTGTGACGGAACTCATCGCGGCTTGTGGGTTCGAGTCCATTGCTCCAGCTCCTTGCACAACCTCTCTCACAGCAGTCATAATTGAATGCCTGCTTCAAAATTATACCTTGGGTGCTACATGCTCCGTGTCTGAACTGTTCAGCAAGCTCCTGGCCCGGTTGTGGAGTAATCGTATTGAAGGCGTTACTGCAACTCCAGTGCATTCTACCTTGACCTCCGACAGGAGTGGTCGGCGCATATTATTGGAACCTTTGCCGCACCCGGATGCACAACCTACCCCAGTGGCAGTTGAATACCCAATACCGGTGCTAACGAGTATCTCTCTCACCCTTTCCAGACGACCCAATGCTCGTACATGGAAGGAGTGGATTCTGAATGCACCAGTCGAAGCCACATTTGTTGATCTAGACCACCCTGATGCCCGCGAAAGAGATTTCTATATCTGATCTGCTTATGTTCGGTTGGGATAGAGTAACTGGGGGGTTCGACCCGAGCATTTGAGATGTATGCAGGTAGTATATATACTGCCAGGTATTTAATAACATTTAATGAATCTAATAATCTATGCTGCTGACCGAACGGCCCGACTATCCACCATATTTCCTGGTTTCGAACTCTTGTCCCAGTGGAGCCTAAGAGATAAATAGCTGGCTCTCTATTCAGCAGCCCATACACTCAGCTTCTCGTGTGGTCGGCTTTGGTACTAGGTGCTATACTCCTACCATCGTCTTTCAGCCGGATGTCTGAAGGTTTGTGCGAAAGGGGTAACGAGGGGCGTGATCACGTGCGTGCTTTCGTGATATCCACTTCTTAAGTGTAGCTTTTGGCCTGTCTGCCAAGGAACTTCGAACAGCAATATGCTCCCTAAGTATACTTCCCACGTTAAAAACTCAAGTCGAAGTTTCGATCAATAGAAGAAGTCATATGCGCAGACATCGCATTGGCTAGAATGCATGACGTAATACAGTAAGGGGTTTAAGCGAATGCGAAGGAACTCACATTCATGCAACTAACAGGTGATGAATGTCGGCAAGGACATTGATCAGGTAACTACCATCAACTCGCACGCTCATTTCAATTGCCTAAAATACCTAGGTACCTTACTTAGCTTCATCTGAGAGACAATTTGAAGTTTCTCCGAATGCGAAAGGGACGCGGCTGCGTGCATCGGATTTCAAAATTACACCTTGGCCCGTCCCTCTAACGAACATAAGGCCGTATGGGTATGATATATAACATGCGCCCCACCTGCTTATAACACCAAAGCTCCTTCCCAGTATCACATTTACTTGTATCTCAGACTCTAGCGGGAAATTCCTAAAGTGTGTTCATAACCTCGTGATCATCATCTACATCTGGTGCATCGTACATTCCTCTCCTCAACTTCAACCGCATCACCTTTCACAGCACGCTCTATCAGCCACATAACACATACCGTACCAATACTTACAATGGCCACAATCTTCCCACCAACAGCCGCCAGGACCTGGCACTACATCAGCACGAAAGGCGGCCTCGAAAAGAACCTCACCCTCATCACCTCAAACCCTGTACCCAAACCAACACAAAGCCAACATCTCATCCAAGTAATAGCCACCGCATTAAACCCCGTCGACTACAAGGTCGCCGAGATCCCCATAGCAGGCCGCTTCCTAGTCTCCAGATCCAAACCCGCCACCCCCTGCGTCGACATCGCAGGCCGTATCGTAACACCAGCAACCGATTCCCCCTTTAAGCGCGGCGACTTTGTCTTCGGCGCCTCGGGCACTTCACCATTTGCCGGCGGCGGATTAAGCGAATTCACGATCGCGGGGAAGGATAATGTCGTCAAGGTGCCGGAAGGAGTGAGTCTGGTTGACGCCGCGGCTGTCCCGATAGCGGGCTTGACGGCCTACCAGACCATTGTGCCGAGAGTCAAGAAAGGCGATCACATCTTCATCAACGGCGGATCGGGTGGGACAGGTATCTTCGGGATCCAAATCGCGAAAGCTGTAGGCTGCCACGTGACGACGTCCTGCTCGACCCCGAACGTCGAGCTCTGCAAGAGTCTCGGCGCGGATGAAGTGGTGGATTATCGGAAAGACAGTGTGGCAGAGGCGTTGAAGGCCAGTGGAGTCCTGTTCGATCATATTGTTGATAATGTTGGGAGTGAGGATTTGGAGCTGTATTGGAAGTGCCATGAATTTACAAAGCCCGGAGCTGTGTATGTCTTGATTGCAGGATCACTTACGCTTTCCAGTGTGGTGGAAAAGGCAAAAGTGAAGTTTCTACCTGGCTTTCTAGGTGGTGGGAAGCGGAAGCTCGAAGGCTTCTTTGCGAGTCCCAATGCGGCAGACTTGGCGCAGATTGGAGTGTGGATGACAGAGGGGAAGATCAGGTCTGTGATTGACTCGAAGTTTTCCTTTGAGGAGGCGCCGAAGGCTTTCGAGAAACTGAAGACAGGGAGGTCGAGAGGGAAGATTATCGTTGATGTAGCGATGGAAACGTATGAGAAGTCGTGGTCTGGCTGAGGTTTTGGATTCATTTTGTATGTGTGTTTACTACTATACCCTTTAATAACAACGCTGCTCTGAACCCTTTCGAAATCAAAAACTCTACTGTAACCAGCGATACTTCACAAGTGATACAAGCTACATTGCAGGAGTTCGTTGAGGATATATGGATTCTTGCTGTGAGAAGCTATATTTTCAAGACCTCTGATTGGACAGTCAAAGAGGTTTAGATGGGCAAGTACTACAATTGTACCAGGGAGAATATCTTAAAGAAACTTTCCAAGGCATATACCGTTCCATAGTTCAACTGCGGTGAGACGTTTCCGAAAAGGAGAGAACTGACTGCCCCATCACCCAGGCTAGTTCGAATCCCAGCGAACCGGAGAGAAAAGCCAATTGCATCGATCGGTGGAACTCTCGTTCATATCGACATAGTAGCACTGCATCCTGATTAACTAGCAGGTTCTATACTCATTTCTGAGAAGGGCACTGATGAGGTTGCGTGCCATACCAACAGCCATTGGTAATGGCGTCGTCTTGGTATTTGATATTGCCATATCTTACGAATCGCAGTGCGGTGTTTCCCTCATCCTGGAACGAAGCCATCCACAAATGTTACGTCCTGGGCGAAGAATTGCGAGTCAAATAACGTCCAGTCCATATTGTCAGCATCACTGCCCATGAAATTGAAAGGATCAAGCAGTCCAAAAGCGGCTTCGTCAGTCTGAACAGAGCCAACTCGACAAGGTTGCAACAGTGAGACTGGATCAACAGCCTGTGATTCGCCAACCGTTGGTTGTATATCCGAAGATGAAGCACGTGTAGTTTGTATCGCTGGTGTTTTGGGGCCCTTGGCACCGTTTAAAGTGAGAAGAATAGCATATGAAACACGCCGTGCATCTCTGCACGAAGCAGACTTCTCCACACAGACAGTATGACACTGCCTTAGTAGCCCCAGAACCTCGCTTTCCGTCGCGGCATCGATAGACGAGTTCTGTGGCCCTTTCTTCCATCGTGTGTGCACCACAAGACAGAGCACCATAACGCCCAAGAGGAAGTCATTCATGGTGAAATTATTGAGCATCCAGCGCTCCATATAAAGTTGACCACCAGGCGCGAACTCCTTATATATGTCAAGAAATTGGCTCACCATTTTCGTCCCCGCTTCCACGCAGGAAATGGTGCTAAAGAGATTTCCCCGAGCCATGTATTTGCGATGCAAGATACAGACACATTTTAAATGGATAAGATCAATGTATAGCCTAGTCATAATGAGAAAAGGCGCATCTGTGATCGACTCAGAAATAGGACGTGATCGGAGAACTTCGGGTACCGTTCTATACGTTTGTCGAATTTCCTTATCAAGCTGAACTATTTCTGCTTCCGACTTCTCTTTGAACGAGAGTGCGTCTTGACAGACCTCGCCAAAATTGGCCATAACCCTGACTTTGACAATAAACCAGAGTAGTCTCGTAGGCTCATTTTCAGGTCGGGACTCCGGCAATACTTTGGTATCTTCGTCGAAATCCGAATCTAGGAGATTTCTAGGTGACTTGGTGTCACAATTGTCGAGGCAGATAGAGGACGGAAGGCCCAGTTGGAAAGAAATCATCACGTCCATCTGTCTCAAAGAAGCCCAACATCGCCTGCGCATCTCGCCCTCAAATACAGTGAAGGACCCAAATTTGTCCGGATCCCGGTGATATCCCATTTCGTATGCCATGCGCACAACCATGCTCAAAATTGACCCAGCTTCTCGAGAAGTTTCAAGGCTTTGGAGGTTTTTGCAATGCCCATATATACCCAGTGCCTCCACTGCAAATTTTTGTGGTCGATGATATTTTCCTAATACAAGACATTGGCCTGAGGCTGAATGCAGAGCAGATCTCTCAGATCCCCAGGATTGCTGGGGACCTGATGTGCCGCCCATAAGAGACGATATATAACAAACCGAAAAGAGCATTGATAGCCAGAGAGGATTGACATTTGCAGGGTCTGCCCAGAAATCTCGATACTGACGTTGAAAATAATATGTATGAATGAATGGAACGATGAAGGTTTCGCCACGGAAGAAGAAGGAGAGGGCACGATCGACTTCAACCTTTGGGGGTAAGTGTTGGGAGACGATCTGTTGGACAGAGTATTTACTCGAGGATCCAAAGATAACCTCGCTATTTACAGAGGGCCTTACAGCTGCAAGATCTCCTTCTGATTCGGGTATGTCCGTAGAGCCACCTAAGACGAGCCTCAGCTCTTGTATGTCGTCCAATATTGCAGACCAATGAGTGGAACCGACATAGTTCCCATTGTTGATTAGCTCGCCTCGCGACTGATCAAGATGCTCTGAGGGATCGTGAGCTGGCGGTGTGTTTTCCGGTGGTGTCATGGTATTTTCCGGCATCCCACTGTTTCCGGACTGAACCCGTTCCTGCATCAAGCTTTTGACCATCGACTCCAGGTGTAATAACCTATCTTCGGCCACAGTATTACGAGGAGCACCATCTGTTGCCAAAGTAGACTTGTGGTAACTGCAGGCTACATCTCTTTTGAGACAGCCGCTGCACGGCTGCCCGCGATCGCATCGAAGTTTAGATGCTTTGCATTGAAGGCATACGAGCGTTTCTCGAGGTCGTTTCGTGACCTTTGACGTGTGAGAAGCATTGCCATTGATTCTGAACTTCCCGGTTAAGTTTGAAAGCTGGGCCATCCCGCAGTGTGGAACCAAGGGGAAGCGATGCCGTTGTTATACCTGGGAATGCGGTTAGTCACATGACACACATGTTCCTCTCCCAAACTTCACAAGGTACCTAGGTACTAACTAATGATCATTCAATTTCTCTAAACAAGTTCCAAGGTCTTAACATCGGCTGGCCACGCGATAGTTGAGAAGGTAAGTTCTCCGCTTTGCATTATTGATGTCAGGTAAAGTGACCTTTCCCAAACAGGATATTTCCCTCGGCCGAGCCTCTTTCTCTTATAGGCTAAGTCTCATCACTTGTCCGCTGTTTCCCAGTGACATATTATACCCCGTATCAGTGTATTATGAGGAACATCTCCGTATGAGGCAATTCTTGGATAACTCCTCCGACGAATCCCAAGAATCGGGGACCAGCTGCAAAGCTACTCAAGAATGTGCAACCCATTCGTCTTTCTCCGAGTGGAGAATTGTCTATATAAGTCGCGTAGGGCATGTCTGGGGAAATTTCATGTTTGTGTATTCTCTTCGATTATTGGATTTCATAGGCATCCTACTCTTCGACCATCTGAAACCTCAATCAACTTACTATCAAGTATAACACACTATCGACAGCTATTAAATTCATAAACACCAAAGCAACATGGCTTCTGACCCAATTGTCCTAATAACTGGTGCCAACGCCGGCCTCGGCTTCGAAATCGTCAAGTCATTACTCCAATCTCCCAAACCCTACACCATCCTTCTCGGTGGTCGTAGCCTTGCGAAAGCCGAAGCTGCAACCCAACAAGCCCAGACCGAATGTCCATCCAGCAGCAGCGTCATCAAACCCGTGCAAATCGACATTGAGTCCGACTCATCCATCACTAACCTCTTCGACCAAATCAGCGCCGAGTACGGTCGTGTGGACGTCTTGATTAACAATGCCGGCAAGTCACCGTGGCTGTAAAGTTGCAAAGGAGATGGAATGGAAGGAATGCTGATTGGTGTATTTGTTTTAGGTGCTCAATTCGACATTGGCAGCGGATCATCCTTGCGCGAAATGCGCGAGATGTGGAATCGCTCCTGGGACGTAAACACCACATCCACACACCTCCTTACGCATACCCTTGCGCCCCTGCTCATCAAATCCTCAGATCCGCGTCTGCTCTTCATGACCAGCGGGACCGCCAACTTGACCGGTCACAATAACCCCGTTCTGACAGTCAATCACTCGCCTGCAAAAGGATGGCCGAAAGAGGGGCTTTCGCTTACGGCGTACAGGAGCGTTAAGGTGGGACTCAATATGGTGATGTTGGAGTGGAAGAGGATTTTGGGCGAGGATGGTGTGAAGGTTTGGAGTGTTAGTCCTGGGTTGTTGGCTACGGGCCTTGGTGGGTCGGGACCGGAGGTGTTGAAGAAGATGGGGGCGAGGGATCCGGCGCTGGGAGGAAATTTCGTGAGGACTGTTGTCGAGGGGGAGAGAGATGCTGATGTGGGTAAGGTTGTTGGATGGATGATGGGGCCTATTCAGCCGTGGTAGAGCCTGAGCGATTTACTCTCCACAGGGCAGGGGAACACGATGAAACCTCAAGTCATAGTGATAATCCAAAGAACCAATACCTGTACTTAGGCATCGGAAATTCTGTTTCCAAAATGAAGTAGAGCACTGTTTCTCGGAATTTTGGCATCGGTATTGTCGTGACGAGTTCAAGGTAGCAAGCATGGAAGATCGGGTTCTTCATGTAGAATTGGCACAAGATCGGCTGCCATCTATTTGTTTAAGAGAAAGAAGCTGAATCGAAATTGAACAATGAGTACGCAATACACATACCATCGGTCCGGCACTTCGCAGTAACATATAGCTTATATAGATTTCAAGCGTCAAACTAAATGCAGGCCGGACACCTACAACTAGCCTCTATACCAGACAACAATGAGAGGATACATTCAGCATCTAATATCGGTCACCAAGTAATGCAAGGTCATTAAAACCGAGCCAGTGCTTAGAATGTCTCTCCTCTTGAATGCTCCAAGTGAAATGAGACCTCGATGTCAATTGTGCTTGCAAAATCATTCAGTCGAAGTTTAGACATGCTAGAACCTTCTAAATGCGTCAAGCCTGAGGAAAAAATAATTGCCATACACGTGATATCAAAACAAAGGTTGTTGGAAGGGCAACAGAAAGAAAAACGTAAAAATACATTTCGGATGATGATTAGCAGATATACTTTGCTATCTTGAGCAGGACTTTAATGTTTTGCTTAACATGGAATGATTTAGAAGAGAAGGAAGCCTGGGCAGTGGAGTAGAGAAGAGCATAGAATACGCCAGTAACAATGTTGAGGTGTTGAAGGAATGGCCACGTGCTGCAGAGGCTAGTCTAAGTATGGCATAGCCAGATTTCCGTGGAAGGCTATCGAAAAGTGAGGAAAATGCTTAAATCTACTTGCTGCTTTCTGTTCTCCAACATTTTCTGCAAACCATCCAAAACAAAAAACAATTCCTTCAGCTTGTCTCGCGCAAAGCTTCTACAATTCTCTACAACTACACAATACAATAAGGTAAGCTTCAATCAAGTCTATCCGTTGTATTCACCTCCATTTCCATTGTCAACAGTTGCCTAAGCTCTCAGCCTCATCGGGAGAGCTTGAACAAACTGTCTCCCGGCCCATTCGCACGCACGCGCACTGCGAAAACACCTCTAATTGTCTTCACGACCTACAATGACATCTGCTAACACATCATCTTCAGATTTACGCACTCCCACAACCATAAACATGGCTGGCGAAACCTTCGAGTTCCAGGCTGAGATCTCTCAGCTGCTCGGCCTCATCATCAACACAGTCTATTCTAACAAGGAGATCTTCTTGAGAGAACTTGTTTCCAATTGTTCCGATGCTCTCGACAAGATTAGATATGAGGCCCTCTCTGACCCAAGTAAACTTGACTCAGGAAAGGATCTCCGTATCGACATCATCCCAGACAAGGAGAACAAGACCTTGACTCTGCGTGATACCGGTATTGGCATGACCAAAGCTGTAAGTGACAATCTGCGAGGCAATTCCAAGCTCTCTGCTGACATTGAACTATTAGGATCTCGTCAACAACCTTGGTACGATTGCACGATCTGGCACCAAGCAATTTATGGAGGCTCTGACCGCAGGTGCCGATATTTCCATGATTGGTCAATTCGGTGTTGGTTTCTACTCTGCCTACCTTGTTGCTGACCGCGTCACCGTCATTTCAAAGCACAACGATGATGAGCAATATATCTGGGAGTCCGCTGCTGGTGGCACCTTCACCCTCACACCCGACACTGATGGCGAGCCTCTCGGACGTGGTACCAAGATCATTCTCCACATTAAGGATGAGCAAACCGACTACTTGAACGAGTCAAAGATCAAGGAGGTCGTCAAGAAGCACTCCGAGTTCATTTCCTACCCAATCTACCTCCACGTCCTCAAGGAGACCGAGAAGGAGGTTCCTGATGAGGATGCCGAGGAGACCAAAGATGAAGAAGATGACCAGAAGGCCAAGATTGAGGAGGTCGATGATGATGAGGAAGAGAAGAAGGAGAAGAAGACAAAGAAGATCAAGGAGTCGAAGATTGAGGAAGAGGAGCTCAACAAGCAAAAGCCAATTTGGACAAGAAATCCCTCTGAAATCACCCCAGAGGAGTACGGATCCTTCTACAAGTCCCTCTCCAACGACTGGGAAGACCACTTGGCTGTTAAGCATTTCTCCGTCGAAGGTCAACTCGAATTCCGCGCCATCCTTTTCGTTCCCAAGCGCGCACCCTTCGATCTCTTCGAGACGAAGAAGACCAAGAACAACATCAAGTTGTACGTCCGCCGTGTCTTCATTACTGATGATGCTACGGATATCATTCCTGAATGGTTGAGCTTCGTCAAGGGTGTTGTTGACTCTGAGGATCTCCCATTGAACTTGTCTCGTGAGACTCTTCAACAAAACAAGATCATGAAGGTCATCAAGAAGAACATTGTTAAGAAGGTTCTTGAGCTTTTCCAGGAAATCTCCGAGGACAAAGAGCAGTTTGACAAATTCTACACTGCCTTCAGCAAAAACATCAAGCTCGGTATCCACGAGGACACCCAAAACCGCAACGCCCTCGCCAAGCTTCTCCGATTCAGCTCCACCAAGTCTGGTGATGATATTACCTCCCTCCAAGACTATGTCACCCGCATGCCTGAGCACCAGAAGAACATGTACTACATCACTGGCGAGTCGCTCAAGGCCGTCCAAAAGTCACCTTTCCTGGACTCCCTTAAGGAGAAGAACTTCGAGGTTCTATTCCTGGTTGATCCCATTGATGAGTATGCCATGACTCAACTGAAGGAGTTTGAGGGCAAGAAGCTTGTTGATATCACCAAGGACTTCGAGCTCGAGGAGACCGAGGAGGAGAAGAAGGTCCGTGAGGAGGAAGAGAAGGAGTTTGAAGGTCTCGCAAAGGCCCTCAAGAATGTCCTCGGCGACAAGGTCGAGAAAGTTGTGGTTAGCCACAAGCTCATCGGTGCTCCTTGTGCCATCCGCACAGGTCAATTCGGTTGGTCTGCCAATATGGAGCGTATCATGAAGGCACAAGCTCTCCGTGACACCTCGATGTCCTCATACATGTCATCCAAGAAGACCTTTGAGATCTCGCCCCGCTCGCCAATCATCAAGGAGCTGAAGAAGAAGGTTGAGACTGACGGTGAGAATGACCGTACCGTCAAGTCCATTACCCAACTTCTCTACGAGACTTCCCTGCTCGTTTCCGGCTTCACTATCGAGGAGCCAGCTGGTTTCGCTGAGCGAATTCACAAGCTCGTCTCCCTCGGCCTGAACGTTGAGGAAGAGCCAGAGATCAGCGAGGAGTCAGTTGCTGAGGCTTCGGAAGAGGCACCAGCCGAGAGCGCCATGGAGGAGGTTGACTAGATTTGCCATATCTTCTTTCAGCGTGGAATTGCGTTTGTTCTGGAATTTCTTGCGGCGGAGTGGAGTTCGATTGGTTGGTTTTGGTCATTCTCGTCTTGCATCAGCCCCTTCTTCTCTCGCCATCTGTTTACGATGGTGGCATAATAAAAAACGTGTATCCTAGTGACGACAATGCAGACAAATAGACAGAGATGAATACAAAAATGTTACATTACTTCCTTCAACCCTTGCTGCTTGTGACTTTCTCCTTGAGTGATGTAGTTTACAGACATGGCCTTTTCTACTTTCTGAACTCATCAAGTAATTCCTTGCGCATTTTTCGTGCTTTTCCTTTCAATTGAGTGTGATGCGCTTATATGAAACAGAGAATGCCAAGTATCGTCCCCTCATCCCCTATCCTCCTTCCCGGATGCGGTGGACTGACTCCTAGATCGGTCTAAAATATCAGTATTCTATCTCCTGTGCATCTGGATGGCGCGGTAATATCCATGAAACCGTGACCTTGTAACGCAAACCTGATGCGAGGTGCGAGGTCTACCTATCAGCATGCAGGTGGTTTTCCTTCCTTCTGTCTTTTCTTGATTGATGGATTGATTTGTGATCTACGTAGTAGGGGTTGGGTCTATGCAGAGTGAAGTGCTGGCCTGGCTTGAACTCCTATCTGCAATAAAGATTTGTTTGTTTGGTACCTATGTATATAGATTTCGAGATTGAGGGGGTGAGGGGATTAGGATACTATTATGGATAGGTAGGTGAATGACTATGGATGGGTGTATAGAATATTGTCTCCACAGTCTCTATGAATTGTCTTTGTATATTGAATATGCTTTTGGGTATGTATAGGGTTTTCTTCTCCCCGCTCTTTTCTAATCGTCTTTTCAAATTAACTATCTTCCAGTGTTTGTGACTTTGGGAATCCAATTTGAATCGCTCGCTTCAAGGTCAAGGATTCATTGATTGCTAGGATTAAGCTCTTCCAAGCTTCCCCAAAACCTCTTCAACTCCAATCTTCGTTCACAGCAAGTAAACAAAACGAAATCAACGTTTACCACCTCACCCACCGTATCAACCGCAAGAATGTATTCTCTATTGCGAGTACTCATCTCCATCGCCCTCTTCCTGACGAGCTCCCTCGCCCTGCCACCAGTCATCCTCGATACCAACGCCCGTTCGACTATCATTGCTACTGCTGCTGCATCCCCGACGTGCACGACCGGCGAGCCTGTCACTGCTGCTCCTGGAGGCTGTAAGCTCTCTCTCTGCCCCATTCCCTTCCGTGTTTCGTTTCGTGGTGTTTAATTTGATTTGAGGAGCGGGTATGAGATAATCGATTAATGGATATAAGAGAGCTGATCGATACTGGTGTCTGTCTGTCCACAGGGGTCGTAACATTCGCTGCCGTCACCCCAATTGCAACACCCGCTGCTACAGCTGAGCTCGACGCGTCGTATGCTGTGGATTCCAGCTGGGCGGAAAAGAACGCCCTTTCTCAACGCGTAAGTCTGGTGCCTTCTCCTTCCTTCTTTTTCCTTTCCTATCATCTGAGGATCCACCACAGCTCCTTCCTACCCATACCTACTGACGGGAATACAAACACAACAGACTCCGGTATCAGGCACTTTCTCGTCCGGCGCATACATTGGATTCAAATGCCAGTTCGAATGCTCTGGATCTCCGGTAGATGGGCTTCATGCATGTGCGGCGTGGTTTATCGGCTGGGGTATGCTTGTCCAATTGAAGTTCTTCCTATTCATTTCCTATTTTCTTCATTCCCACATCTCATCTCATCTATTTTTGCGCCCAATTTAATTTGTGGGTTCAAAATGGATGGATGAATGGCTGAATGACGTACAGTATGAAACTGAAGTTTGAATTCTGGCTTACGATGGAATGTGCGATATAGATTCTAACAAGCAAGATTGGGCTTGTACTCAGTACAAGGCGCTCATTCCTCCGGCTATGATGGTTAAAGTTCCGAGTTCCGGCAATGGGAGCTTGTTGGATGGGACTGCGTTTAACCGTATTTGTAAGAAGTGAGGGGGGGAGTGGGAAGCAGATATCATGGGGGGAGAGAGACTTTGAGGATGTATGGATTTCGCATGCTGTTTGGGTGACGTGATTTAGGAGTGTGGTTGAGTCTTCTTGGACGTGACTAGCTTGCTTGCCATTCTGGTCTCCTTTCCAGGTCATCCAGCTTCGGGGTCTATCCACGTGCTCTAGAGTTCAGGTCTCAGATGACTACCTGTAATTTGAGTCTTTGGCTCGAATAAATAAAAGCGTTGCATTCACTTCTTGCGTTTCTGGTGCTTGTAAGGTGTTTTGTTCTAATTGTGCCTGCGGCTTCGCAGCTCTGCGTTGTGCGCGGTTGCAAGACCAGGGCAATTGCTTGATTAGTGCCTTGATTTCGCTGAAGTATTTGGCATGAATGAATGCTCTAGGAGCTTTATTTATGATCTTCGATATTTTATCTGTTCAATGTTTGCAGAATAGGGAGCTAAGGAGTAGTCGTGTGACAAAAGCTAATGAAGGGATATCTTGGGGGTTATAAATTTGAATTGTCTGTTATGCCACTCGTGTCCTGTTTGAAAAATAACATTACTGTGAGATTAAGTTTGATTAGCTAAGAGATAAGTATGTCAAAAAGAAAAGTATGTACAAGAGAGTTCAAATAAGTCCACATCCACAATAACCATCTCATCCACGAATAATGCCACCAGCCCCAGGTCCACCAAGATACACGTAGCTACCCCAGTTCGTTCCACTAGAAAGGTGGGCATCCTATTGCAGAACCATTCAGTCAGTCACTTTTCTCTTCACCAATAAACGCTCGCTCGGGATATCATAACACAATACTCACATTAGTATACCTCGCGATATCCGAATTCCAAAATCCCCCCGTATAATCATGAAACCCACTCTTCGCATCCTGATACACCATATTCCTCATATACGCCGCCTTGCCCGCGCCCGCAGCCGCGAACTCTCCGCTCCCCATATCCGTTGTCGTCAGCGCGTTCTCGTTATTGAATACCTCGCCATAGTAGAATATCGTATCGGAGCCAGCGGCGAGGGTTACAGAGGCGTCTGCTTCGCCGGCGGAGAAGATGGACGCGGGGTAGTAACCGATCCAGGTGTCGATTACGTAGAGCCACCAGTTTCCTTGGTATAGCTGGTATTCGATCTGGATTTCGTATTGTGCGCCGCCGTCTACGCTGTTGGGTACGAAGACGGTGCCGGGGTAGTATTTGTTGTTTACTTGGATCTGTGTGTGTCAGTCAGTTGTATGTTTTTTCTTTTTTTTCTTCTGTTTCTTTCTTATTTCAAGAGGAAAGGGGGTTAAAAATTAAAGAGGTGCAGTTTTATTTTAATTCGCCCAACTACGTACCCATCCTGCTTGATCCGCATTCCAACCCCCCTTGTTATCACCAGAGCACTGGTAGGCACATGTCGTGAAGTATGTGAACAGATGCGGGCTAGACACTTGGTTCGGGTAGTTGATCCAGCCCGCCTCGAGGGTTTGCGATCCGCTTGAAGAAGGATTATTTGGGATCGGGACATTGTTTCTCGTGACTGCGGTTTGCAGCAGGGAGAAGTCTTCCGAGCTCTGTACGTAGGGCGCAAAGATGCTGAAGATCGCCGAGCCGCCAATGTTGGCTACGCTTTGGTCGGATGACACGTACCAGTGGTTTCCGCTGTATTGTCTCTTGGACTTTTGTTCTTGTTTTTGTGCCGAGTGATTGGTTGCGGGGAGCTGTTTGGTGATGCGGTTGGTACTGGCTTGAAGCTTTGGGTTTACCCGTGGGATAGGCACGCTTCCGAGGGGGCCGACTTCAGCACCGGGTTGCATGAGCTCGACTGTAGGCGTGGAGCCATTGGTACGGCGTGCTGGAAGGGGAGGAGCAGAGGCGATGGTGCCTTGAGAGTCGATGGGGATCCAGTCAAGGGTATGGGTATCCGTCACTGTTGTTTTCAGGATATCGAGGCCGGCTCTTGGTGCTAATATCGGATTCTTTGGGGAGGATATTGGCTTTGAAGTAACGCTAGTAGCTAATAAGAACGCAAGTGACAGTTTTTGCAAGAGACCAGCCATTTTGTTAATCAAAGACGTCAGGTAGGCGATATATCAGACAAGTATATATCAGACAAGTATATCAGACAAGTATATATTAGACAAGTGCAAGTAAAGATACTTCTCAAAAGTTCCATTTCATTTCAGGAAGTAGAGCAGCATTAAGTACTTGAACTATGAGATCTTTCCATCCACACCCATAATATGTGTGCTTCATATTTACCTGGGTAACGGTGACCACTAGACACTATTGCTCCATCAGCTGAACGACGGATTCGCTCATAAGACCTACCCCAAGGCAAAAGTCCCAACCACAGCTTACGAGTACAAGCAAAACGTCCACAGCTAACTACAGACTGCACTTGGTATGAGGGAACGTGAAAGCAAGCTGATGTGAATTAGCCCTGATCTGGAAAATATGCAGTCAGCCAGTATGTTCAAGAGTAGCAAGGTACCATCACGGGCTCCACATACAAAATCGGCGAGAACTAGACAAAGGCAAATCGCCACAATCGCCCGTTCCCTCCCCGGTAATGAGCCGATACAAGACATTCATGCAGAAAATTGATAGGAAATAGACGTGAAGCTGCTCTAGTCACTTGTAGAATAAATCGGCCCGTCCGAAGAGTGTATTCGGAACGATAATGGGTGGTATCTTTAAACATCACGTTCGGTTGCCTAGCTTGTAATTTCTAGTGGTAGCAGTGCCTGGACGGGGCTTTTCCCGCATCCGCACCGGGGTTTTTCTCCGCACCGGGGCATTTCTCCGCACTCGTCAGCCGTCCCCCCCCCTACAGTAGATCTCTCGTCTCGGTAAAGACTAGCTCGTGCGCCCCCCCTTTAAATCCCGAGAACCGGGTTTTGAAGGTCTGTATTGATATACTGCGTGGCAAAGTACTCGTATATTATAATTGCTTTAATGAGAACGAATATAGACCATTGATGATACTTATTCCAACCGGAACAAGCTCCGGGTCGATGCGGGTTCAAGCTCCAGGTCCGTGGATGGGTGGCAGGGGTAGCGTCCATCGGATCGTAACACGTTACATACAGCCTTATCAACGCGTCACAAGCCCCAGATATGTATAGCCATCTGATATCATCGGGCGTAAAAATTAAACTTGCTGATCATGTCCTATTTGAAAATAGAAATAGACTTGGATTTGGGAAGGTTTAACTTGATTATTCGTTAAATACTGGGATCTGAAAGCTCGCGTATCTGTTGAACTTCAGTGTTAACTATTTATGATGACCCTGACTCTGTAAGATGGCTATCGGGTAACAACAGCCTTGATTTCTGATTCTTCCACCTCTGAAAATCTAGTCCTTGGCAAAGTGCGATAGCCATTTTCAATGTCATCTTCTATATGAAAGCAAGCAAGTCCTTCCGTTCCCTCTCAACCACAACCCATTCATGTTCTTTCTTCACTTCACAACTGCCAACCACTTCTCGGCTTCCCTCCTCATCATGACCCTTCCCAGGCTCCGGATACTTTCTCAAATGCTCTAATGCCCAAACCAAATCCTTTCCCAAAACAGGGGGTATCCTCCCCTCTCCTTTCAGCGTCCCCAATCCTGCAATTTCAAACAGCCGTCCCAGCCACTCTTTTGTCTCCCCAGTCTCCCACTCAATATCATGAAACTTCTTGCCGGACTTCCTTCTATCCTCCCCTCTTTCACTGTCCCATTTCTCCTGCTCCTCCAATGGTGGAAGCGGTTTTGAATTCCTACCTGAGAACAGGCGAGCTAGTGCAATAGCCTGATACTCAAAACTTCTAAATGTCAACACGCGTGGGAGGCCTACTATAGCTAATGTATTGAAATCTTGGAAGAACGTATGCCAGTACCCTCCAACAATTTTGTCTGCATCGTAGTCCCATAATGGCCGGCCATTGGCCTTTTCATTCCAGAATGGAAATGAAGCTTTGTAGCCTGTGCAGTAGATGACAGTATCGACGTCATCCAAATATGTATCGTCTTCGAAGATAATACTGCCATCTTGCTTATACTCTCGGATTATTGGTTTCCATGCAATGCCATGCGGAGGTTTATCGCCGTCCCATCTAGATTTCGATCTCCTGGATTGGTAGACGGGGAGATGAGCCGAGGATACCAGCTCGGCGGTAAGATCGTGACCAGATGCTGAGTTACCGATCGTGAGAATCTTCTTGTTCGAATAGAGAAGTGGCGTACGGTAGTGTTTGGAGTGCACAACACGTCCTGGGAATTTCTTCGTGTAGGCATCTAAGCCTTTGACTTGAGGAACCTATGAGGGTCAGATTGACGGAATTGGAGGAGATAGAATACACCATACAAAAGGGACCGAATAATGCCCATTTGCCAAGATGACAGCGTCAAACGTCTCTTCCCACCAGAGATCAACTTGCCGTGCAGGCTCGTATTTTCGAAGTGTCAGATTCCATTGTTCCTTAGATTTACTCGAAGAGCTCGTGATCCTGGAAAGATCTTCCACCGTGGTGTTGAGCTCGAGGAATGAATCGGTCTCGTGAAGTGAGAAATAGCTTGCTACATATTGACGAGGAACGTGATGTGGTACAAAAGGTCCGTAGGGAAATGGATTATCCGAAAAGCACATGGCGATATGAGGAACATTAGTACTATTTTTCATCAACTTAGTGTTCCACTTCTTGATAATTGACATGAGCAGCTCACGTGAGAGAATTGTAAATCGGTGTGCGTAAAAACCGCTCTTGCTCATTTGGTGACTTGACTTGAGGAAGCTCATTTGGGATCTCCAGTCGCGGATCGACATCTTTTGGTAGACCTCCTGGATGAATAGTGAGTTCTACACCCGGGTCGGGATCGTGTATCCTATGTTAATCTTAGCCGCGACGGGAATTTAAAGCAGATTTAGGTTGTGGAAATCAAAGTCACCATGTCCCACCGGCCGTTTCTCTACGCTCAAACACTCGAATCCGATCAAAGTAATTCTCGGCTTTGAGCGCCGCAGCAGCGGCAGCTCCTATGATACCCAATTAGTAAGCTTTATTCTGGAATACAAATATAATATTGCGAAAAAGAGGAAGTTCACCGGCTGCTCCGGCGCCTATAATCGCCACGGACTTGATTTTCTTCCCATCGGTCATCTTGCAACACTGTCAAAAAAGACGCCTAGAATTATCATCTGCTTCTTGACAGCGATAAGAACAGATACGGTACAAGTACAACTTCCTGTCATAATTTCTATCAGCTAAGAAGTGGGATTCACAATTCGTCATCTGCACTCCATATTTCATCATATGCAGTCACGTGCTATTTGACCAAGACCTTTCGATACAAGGTTTCGGTTTCGGTTATCAATGAAGTTCCGTTATGATCTGTTTCCAATAGCTTGAAGTTTATGCTTCCCCTCGCTTCTTTGATCAAAAGTCCATTCTACCGCTTCGGAGTTATTTTCTTTTTGGCTCACTTTACTTACTAAGAGCTTCTGTACGAGAAATTCGCCACTTGCCCCCTCAATCAACACATCATGGCTCTCACGCAAAGACAGCCAGACATATCTTACCACCCCGACTTTGAGAAATACCAATTGCGTACCGAGCGACTTCAGCCCCAACGACCGGTCAATCCCAGCCTTCCAATTGGATTTCCCGCACAGCTTACTGGGGCCTTGGTCTGGGAGGGAAAGGATTTCACTGATGAAAATCAGTGGACATTGTCTCTGACCGACTCTCAACTTCAGGAAATCCACGAAGCACTATTACAGTTCAAAAGTAAGTGGGCAAATAACTAGTGACTCTGTACTTTTCTTCGATGCTAAACCTTGCAGGTCAAGGCAAACCTATTGGCTATGTCAACCAAGATACTTTCCTTTTGCCGGAACTTGGTCCAATACTCCGCCAGGAAGCTCGAGCATTACAAGCCGGTCCGGGATTCTTCGTTCTTAGAGGTCTTCTGGTAGACAGGTATAGCAGGGAAGAGAACATCATCATCTATGCCGGTGTATCTTCATACATTGGGAGTATCCGAGGCCGTCAAGGTAGAGCGACTGTAGACGGAGTATCGAAATCCACCATGCTTAACCACATTAAAGACCTTAGCCAGACAGCAGTGGCAAAGAATATTGGAGCACCAGCATATACGACCGACAAGCAAGTGTTCCACACGGATGCGGGAGACATTGTCTCATTATTCTCCCTCAATACGGCTGCTCAAGGTGGTGAAAGCAAGCTTGCAAGCAGCTGGAGGGTTTACAACGAAATTGCAAGGACTAGACCAGATGTTATCAAGACTCTGGCCGAAGATTGGGCCTTTGACGGGCAAGTTAGAGTACAAATAACAGAAATAGATTTGGAGCTGATTTTTGTAGCTACGGTAATGCCGAAAAACCGTACAGTCTCAAGCCTCTTCTCCACCATACACCTGCACATGGAAACACTCCTGAACGTGTCATAGTTCAATATGCTCGTCGTGGGTTTACAGGATTTTTGCATCTCCCGAGAAGCAAAGACATTCCCCCGATCACTGAAGCGCAAGCCGAGGCTCTGGATGCACTTCACTTCCTGGCGGAGAAGTTCAGTTTGACACTCGACTTTCAGAAGGGAGACGTGCAATATGTTAACAACTTGAGTATTTTCCATGCTAGGGATGCTTTTGTGGACACCCCTGGACAGGAGTAAGTTGCACGAAACCAGATATATAATCCAAATTACTCATAGAAGTCCAGGAGACATTTACTTCGACTATGGCTGAGAGATCCCGAGCTGGCATGGGAGACTCCAGCTGCATTACAGCCGCGGTGGGATGAGTTATACAAAGACATAACGGAGGATGATCAAGTGTTTCCTCTTGAGCCGTACATTCGAGAAGGCGCTGGTAAGGCTTAAATAACCACCCAAGTAGCAGAATAATCTTTTTCTTTATATGCAGCCTATAAACGCCAAAAAGGAATGAGTCTTTCCCATTTCGTTCATCTTGGCGCCTCATACGAATTATTGCGCAAAATCGGGTGCGTTTGACAAGCTTTCTGGAGATAGTTTTGATTACGCAAAAGCTTTACTTCACGACGTTGCTGCCATGACCTAAGCATCTTATATATCCCCATACAAACGCCACGATTTAAAACAATAGCAGCTTAAGTTTTCTTGGTTTGGGTGCATTCATTAAGTTTGAGTTTGCAAGGTTCGGGCAAGGTCTTGTACATCACATAGCGAAATGCAGGCAGTCGATGGCGAAATCGCTAGGCTTGCACTGTCAAGTATCACGACACCAATTGCTTTGTACACAAATACAACGCCACCATCGACTCCATGCAGCTACTAACTACTTTAGGAAGGCGCCTCATAGTCCAATACACGCGGAAATCCCGGAACGTACATTTTGCAATATGCTTGGAAAAGCACGATCAATTAATCCCTTGTACCCTACCCTCACGGCAATATCCCAAATGGTCTCTGCCGATCCATATAAAACCTGGGTAAAGTCTCACTTTTCTCCAAATGTAAGATTCTCTGAATATTGGTCCGACTATGGCTACCTTTAGCTCCGAAGAAGTGCGAGCCGCAAGAGATGTAGGCACAGGCGATGTCAAGATCGATGGGTCCCTTGAATTTGTGCACGAAGTTGGCGGCAACGACTCGAAACCGTCCTATCAGGAAGCGTCAGGCGCCCCAGTTGAAAATATCTCTCCTCTCGGGACGCACGTAGGATGGCTCACGACGATATTTTTGAATATTGGTCAGATGATTGGGACTGGAGTCTTTTCAACTCGTAAGTCTCCTCGCTGATGAGAGGTCGCGATGACGGGACTAAGGGCTCTGCTAGCGGGTTCGATACTCAAGGGAGTTGGCTCAGTCGGATTGAGCATGATTTTTTGGGCAATCGGTCTTCTTATTGCTGGCTCGCAACTCGCTGTTTACACAGAGTTGGCTAGCTACTTTCCCAATCGCTCCGGGGCTGAGGTCGTGTACCTCGAACAAGCTTATCCGCGACCAAAGTACCTTCTGCCAACTGCTTTCGCTGTTCAATCTGTGATACTTTCGTTCAGTAGTAGCAATGCTATCGGTAGGGTCCCCTGTCATTCAAAACCGATTTGAGATACTGAGATTCTTGGGAAGTGATGGCTCAGTACCTCTTCGCGACTGGCGGTTATACGCCATCCGCTTGGGAGCAGAAAGGCCTTGCCGTGGGCTGTATTACTTTCATTATCTTATGTAAGTACCTTATCTTCTTCAACTACCACGATCATACTAATGAGAACTGTCTAGTGGTCATATTTAGCACCAAATGGTCGCTTCGCCTCTCGAATGCCGTTGGGATCATAAAGATCATCACTTTAGTCTTGTAATTGGCACAATGCGCACTGGACCAGTTTGTTGGCGATGCTAATACTTGGTTTTAGTATTAGTATAACTGGACTCGTTGTTCTGGGGGGACACACAAGAATCAAAGATCCACACGCCAACTTCCGGGACTCCTTTTCAGGAACCACGGGCAGTGGATACGGGTTGGCAAACGCGTTGGTCAAAATCAACTTTGCTTATTTTGGCTTCACAAACGCATTCAACGTAGTGGCTGAGGTCAAGGTATGTAGTCTGTTTGAGCATACAACCGAACGAAGAACGTGCCTGATTTTTGAATCTCCCTGCAGAGACCAATCCAAACCCTCAAGAAAACAGCACCTGCATCCCTCCTCGTAGTGGCCATTCTCTACATTCTCTGCAACATCGCGTACTTTGCAGCAGGTCAGACCCCCTTTTAAACGATCCTTCGACATTTACTAAGTCTAGCCTCAGTACCGAAAAAGTCCATCGCAAGTTCAAAACAACTGGTCGCCTCACTATTTTTCACAGCTGTCTTTGGTAATAAACATGCCTCTAGAGCACTTAATTTCTTGATTGCACTTAGTGCATTTGGCAACATCATCTCGGTCATCATCGGGTCCTCTCGAATCATTCGAGAGTGCGGCCGCCAAGGAGTCCTCCCCTGGCCAAGAGTCTGGGGCTCCACTCGTCCGTTCGGGACGCCCCTCGCGGCATATGGTTTGAAATGGGGTTTGACCGTACTCATGATCGTCGCGCCACCCGCTGGAGACGCATTCAACTTCATTGTCGATCTCCAGTCATACCCATCGAACGTCTTTCTCTTCCTCACAACGTTCGGGCTGTTTCTCATCCGGCGCAGCCGTGCGAGGATCGGTATCGAGAGGGCGGAATTCCGAACCTGGAATGTGGCCATTCTCTTCTCCCTGGCTGTCAATATTTTTATCCTTATTATGCCATGGTTCCCACCTACCGGAGGCCGCTACGGAGGCGACGTTTCCTTTTGGTACGCTACGTATTGTGCTGTCGGGGTTGCTATTCTCGCTCTCTGTGGCATCTACTACGCCTTCTGGATCTACATCATCCCCCACTTTGGGAAATATCGCATTCGCCAAGAGCTGGTACAGCTGGATGATGGAAGCGCCAAAGTACATCGCCTGGTCAAAGTACCACTTGCGGACCTGGGAACTTGGGATGCGGAGCATGATGTTCTCGGGCAGAAATTACAGGACTTTGCTGGATCCGAAAGCGATGGTGCTGAGCGCGTAAAGATCTCAAAGGAAACATGAAACAGAAAGCAGAAAGACTGTATTGCTTATAGTGTAGAGGGACAACACAACCGCGAACTCTAAGCTAGGACCTGACTTATAGTTTCATCGTGAATATAACATATATACGATAAATAAGTGATACAAATGAGCGTGTGTGTGTAGAAAACGGACGATGCTCCAAGCAGGTAGAAACGCTCGTACTTATAGAGTGTGATGCAGTTTCAGCGGCATACCTCCACTTCACGTGACGCCCCCTTTTGAGCCCCACCACAATAGATCTACCATTAATGTGGGCGAAACCCATATGAGGAGGCTGGGAAACTACGCTCTCCGTACAGTAGCCTCCACTTTACTAGCTGCCATTCTGACACAATGAATAGGGGGTCTTGGCACGTGATTGATGGCATATCAAGTTCACTTCAAAACTTGCAGGTATCCGCAGTGACAAGAATATGATTAGATACCAACGTCTGTTCAAGAAAGAAAACTTCAATACTAATGTCTAATCAACGACTGCGCCACGCAATTGCTAATCCCAAGAGCAAGCACAAAACACAAATTCAAAAGCAACTTTCTCATCTTCCAGAATACACGAAAACAAGAACAGGGAAAGATGAAACAGGGGCGAAAAAAAAAAAAATTGACAGCGTGGAAGAACAGGATGAAAATTAAGCAAGTCCTCATAAGTAGAACATGATGTCGTCGAGGTTTGGATGCCAAGGATTAGTCCTCTGGGCTTGGGCTAGATCCTGTGGATTTGGAACTTCCCAGAGCCGGGGAAGCTGTCGATACCAGCGCAGGCCAGCGTTAATTGGCGCCTGTAAATCACGTTCAATAACAGGGCGCATGTACATCCTAAGACGACCGCATAAGAGATCGGCATATCGAGCAGGAGTGCAGACAGAAAGGCCCTTGGTTGCGCGGGAGCCCATGTAACAGAGGTCATTTGTCTGGGACAGAGTTAGCTGTGACGTGACCGCAGTACTAAGAGGACTTACAAGCTTCTGCAGCTGGTTGGCATTGTAACCGATTCCATTTTCGAGGACCACGTAGTGGGCGCTACGGGCTGTGCCGAGTGGTGATCCATGGCTTTGGAGATAGAAATTGAATTGTTTCGGCGCGGTGACATCTAGATCGACAACCAAGCCCGCATTGAGGTTCGTAGTTTCTCTTGGGTCCCAACGATAGAATCGCGAATGATGGCGTTTCCCCACAATCACAACTGTGATCAGTGGCATGGTTTCGTTGCCTTACATTGCTTGTCGACAAGCCCTCTCGATCTGGGGTAGCTCTCTATCTCTGATCATGCCGTATTGACTCTCACTAACACCATCGCGATAGAAAAGAATATGTTGAGGGAAACTATCTCGACCTTGGTCAGACCATCTGCGATAGGCAGCAAGCCGCTCCAACATCATGCCGTCTAAACTGGCAATATACTAGAAAGGTTTAGCATGGTTAACACACAGGAATACGGAAGACTTACTTCCGTGTTGTTTGGCTGAAGCCGAGCAGAAGCAAGATAGTGTATTGCTTGCTGATCACAAGTGGCGACAACTCCAGCTAGCGATGGGCAGCTGCGATCTCCTTTTCCAGGATGAGTGACATCGGCGCCTACGATCATAGTTCTTCCCCCTAAGGTAGACTCCAAGTCTTCCAGATTGGGGCCAATATTTATCCCACCAAGCTTGAAATTGACTTTCATGCTGGGCAAAGTAAGCAAAAGAAAGCTTATCATTAGTAGCTTGTGGACTTACCTCAAATTTCCCAATGTCTGGTCACCTTGACTTCCAGAAACAGTACCCAAACCTTTCGGACCAATACAGACTGTCGCAACACCACGGTCGCAATCTGCCCACCATTTGACATCAGAGTAAGTCGTGGTATCTGTGTTTGGTAACAATACAACGACAAGATACGGGCTGCCTAACTGCATATAAGCAGCATCGAGGGCTCCTTTGAAGTTTAGCCTTCGTGTTTGGGAGATAAGATTGAAATTCTTGGCCACATCTTGAACCATTGGCAACTGTCCCTGATTGATGAAAATACCATATGTCTCCAATGCGTCTCTGATTCTAGCAGGAAAACCCTGCGTATCGACACCTCTGCCAGATTCGGTAACCCGTATGATGTGAATATTGAGAGGCGCATTTGGCGCTTCCGTGATAGCTGTCAGGAATGAACGACCTGCCCTTTCGCTTATCTGCTTCAAATTCCAAGAAGCCTTTTCTCGACTGATGGGCATCGACTCTTTGTCGTACGGAGGTTGACCAGGCTTTCTTAACAAGAGAACGGGCGGCGGTAGGTACCGGGATACCGTGGTGATGAACGCAGGGGATATGTCGAGGCCAAAACTCTATCCAAGTTAGCTGAAGAATCAAAGAGGCAAGTGAAAAAAGCACTACCTGGTACATTTGCTGGGGTTGTCCGGCCAGCTCAATCCCAAGGGGATCACGGGCATGCTGGAGAATCATAGCCTGGTTCTCTGAAGGGTTCCTCTTCGCGTATCTAATCATTTGCGATGACATTACTGGATCATCTATTAGTACTCTCACTGGTTGCCACTCGACAATCTTCAAGTGATCGGCCGGGTACCAGATCTCTTGATTAGCAACACTTGACCCCGTGTTGACACAACAAACACCAGGTGCGAAAACAAGACCAGCCCTCTGAGGGGTTGAGTCTATCACAAGGACTACTTTAGCTTCGTCTCAACTTAGCACCAAATGGGGAACTCACATTGGCTTCTCATGTAATTGCATACCGTGATCGAGGGACGGTTGTTAGGTGTGAACATCTGTGTGCCAACGTTAAGAGCGCTGAAGCCTGTAATCTCCCTAGTCTTCTGCTGAGGATCGCCATCAAAGATTACTTTAAGTCCTGTGAGCTCAGTCTGTAGTTTGGGTGTTGGCATTGAGTTGGCGGCTCCTAGCCTACGATTAAGCCAGTCCTGGACAGTTATCGATGGGTAGAAGGCAGTGGTTGTAGCATTGACATTGAGGAGAAGTGATCCATTCCCTGGTCTCATGGACGAATAGAACCCATTCTGGACGAGATAGACATGGTTGCCAAGAAACCTCGGATCGCTGTTAGCAACAGGGACAGGATAGAACTTGTTCCCCACAAATTTGAATTGTCCATGTGGTTGAGCACGATCATAAATATGCTTCCAGGAGAGAATGTTGAGCAACTTCAGATCTTCATCTGGAAGATAGGTATTGCCTGCAGGAATTAGGACTGTAGGGTTGACCCAATTTCGTAGTGCATTGAAGTCAAGATGGCGTTCATAAATGATGAAGCTGGTGATCTGGTCTATCACAGTCCCAGTCCCTGAGTATCGGTTATGCGGCGCCTCAAATACCGTACCCACTACATCGGGAAGAGTAGAATCATTGTAGAGCTGCCCTACAGATACAACGTAGTGGGAGTAGTCAGTAACCCATATTTGAGCATGCGGTGTGTATTGAGATAGAATCTCATCGATTAAGGCTCTCTTAGCATAATGATTGGTGACAGTCCTTCCTTGAATCTGGCCCAACACAATTCTGTACAGCCGGATGTCGACGTCCGCGAGCATGTCAACCCTGAAAAAGTTGGCTCTAATGTCTCCATGTTTGGCTGCAGGAGATGATTGCGACGCGGCAAGAATGTGATTAGACTTGGCCCACTCAGCTTTCTCTTGGTTTTCTTGCTTAACTTCTGGAGGTTCGAAATTGTCGACCTTCTTCATTCTCAGCTCTTTGAGCTCCGTGGGGGGTTGCTGGGTCAAACCAGAGCCTTTAGAAGCAGATGAGGATGGTTTTGCACCAGATTTGGGGGGAGGGCCACGATGGGTCAGTATCTTGCTCGGTCTAGTATTCCGAGAACTTGGACCGGCAGAGGCAGAGGAAGAGGGCTTTGTAGTCTGGTTAGATGCAGCGGAAGCACGCTTCTTCGAGGCCTCGTCTTGTCTTATCACGACTTCGTTGCGCTTCAACTTGGTGTATTGGTTCAGATCAGAAGGTACATGGGGATTCAGGCCGCAGTTCTTGGCATAGTGATGACCTTCGTGACCACACTTCCCGCAGAAAAATATGCCCTGCTGTACAGTACATTGACTTGCTTCATGGCTTGAATTTGCGCATCGATCGCACCATTGATCGTTCCAAGGCGGCCACTCTGATGCAGAGCAATTCCGAATTGTGTGATCGCTACCTGCAGTCTTGCACCTAGAACAGAATTTGGCCATAGCGACGAGGACTTCAGCGCTCACGGGGAAGAGCACAAATGCGCTCTAGGCTAAGAAGTTATGATGGAGAAAAGGAGTAAACACAATGTCTGCGATGATCAAGCTGACAGATCTGAAGACACAGACCGGTCTTATATAGAACGCAAGGCGATTGTTTCATGTATAGCAAGCAAATAGAGATTTTTCCTAATAGGCAAGCACAGAGCAAGCTACGAGGACCATAAGCATACCATCAAAAGACAATCGGAGCATGTTGGTTTCAGTAGAAAGGTATAGGGCGAAAAGGTAATTGAGCGCAAGGTAGGAAACCGTTTCTGCAATCAGACTTGATAATAGAAATAGATTTCCGAGGCGACATCTTCGCTTCCGGGAAGAAACAATCCAATCCTTCCGTGATCTTCGACATCTTCAATCATGGAAACAGAAAGTCCAAAGATTGTTTCAAACTCAAATGCAATCACGCATACATGACAAAACTCATGATGCAGGTAGCAAATGCAAGGGAAAAGCTGAGCTGTATGACATCCATGACAACCACCTGAACCGAGAACTCGATGACTGGTCTAGTCCACGAAAGGTGTCATGGTAGCGACCGAGGAGCTTGCTTCGCCAACTGCGGCAGTCTTCAGTTGTGAAAGATGTGTTATATTCTCTCGATTTCCTTGGTACTAAATAGCAAATAGGTAGAAGAGAAACTTTCCAGGTAAATAGATTCAGTCCAGTAGCCATACCGGTGACATTACGAAGACCAGGGGAGAACTCTTGGTTTGACACTGTACAACGCGCACAGTAGGTCTATAATGAACAAAGTTCTTTACCTTACACTCAACTTGAGCTCGACTCTTCTGTAGAGCTTGAAAAGTAAGCTTCCATAGCACATTATATCGCCTTTGTTGGGTTTTTTCGTCCGCTTGAGAAACGCCTGGGGATGGATATTGTATCCTGTCCAAAGTCAGGATGTATTGGTAAGATGTATACATACTCGCTACAGCCCATTCAATACAAAAATAACCCCAGACAGATTTAATGGAATATCAAAGGGCTTGGAAAGCTTATCGAACAGTACCCTCGACATGTGGTGCCGTCCACAATAGAGCACTTTAGAATCTCGCCTTCGCACTTTTTGAGCAGGCTCTTCTTCCTCCAATACACATCCAGCCCATATCCCCACATATCACATCATGCAGTCCATCATATGCTCTGCCTTCGGTCTATACCCAGTGTTCCACAGCCTCTCCATACTCCTTCCGTCCAGATCATATGGTATGACCCTCGTTCCGGCTATATACCTTCTTGCTCTTCTCAAAAATGTCCAAATTCCTACGACGTGTTCCCCTTGTGCATGTGCAATGATCGCCACGACGTTTAGTTGTCGAAATGTGCCATTGGGTGTCCTTGGTATTCGGCCAGCCACCAGAGCTCAGGTCGTCCGAAATATGCGCTCGGCATCTGCAGACACGCTTATGCTATCCAGCGCAGGTCGCGGCCATGGAAGAGGTTAGCGTCATGAGTGCCGTCTGCGGGAGATGTGGGCCAGTGTCCAGTAGCTATCGAAAGGGCGTTGTTTGTTCGAGGATGGAGAGGTGGGTCAGGAGAGCTTGATCTGGTTCGAGAGATTACTAGGTAAGCGCTGGGGGTTAGGAGTATAGTATTTGGCATACTTAACGGGTTCTATGCCTCGCATCAGGTCCAGTAAGAGTAGGCTCTAAAATGGTTCGAGGTGCGATGTATGTGCGAGCTGCAGCGTCTGAATTGCAGTATGAAGTCGCTTGAGGGTATTCACGTGACTCGGCCGAGGCGCTGACGCTTTCCTCCAATCTTCAACCTGAGGAACTTCATTCAACTTCTTTCAACCTCTTTCATTGCTGGCTCTCTTGTGGACTACGCATATTGACTGTAAGTGCAGAACTGGCATACGGAGGAATTGCGACGAACACGCACTGAGGATCGAGTTTTTCCGTCTCGGCATTATTCGACATGGAAGTATCCCCACTCTGGGCATATCTCCTCCATTATCTTGACGATTCAACTAGGAGGTGATTAATCCTGGTATAAAGGTGCCATATACTAGTGATATTGCAACTTCAACTCATTTGCTCAACTACACTTTATCATTTGTGCTATTTAATGACTATGTCCCCCATGTTTTCAATGGATACGAGTATAGCTTTCGTGGATAAACGCAATTACTGCTTGTAACCATGCGATTAATAATTTCCATTCTCTCGTTTTTGTTTTTGTCCGCTACAGCCTTGGCTGTTGAAATAAAGCCTTTCTTGAAGCCCCTCAATTCAACGAGTGGGTGGATCATTGGAAATGGGCTGTGGAATATCACCATTGGCGATGTGTATGGCAAGAAGCTATTTTACGACGGACGCGATCTGATTGGCGATGCCGTCGGGCATTACTCTGGCTATGGTATGTAACGCCCGGCACGTGTTTTCATGCTTTAAATACATATGCCGTCTTGCTAAACAAATGGTCTCTGGCAATAGATGGAGAATCCAATTTCGTATGGACATCAGCGAGTATTTATGAAGAAACTCCGGAATATCTTGATGTAGTATTCAGCGCTACAGAGATTGATCTGCACTGGATCATCTACCCCGATTTGGCGGGCGCATACCAATATATAGAAAACAAAGCCTTGCCCACTCTCGCTGTTCTTCGAACACTATTTCGCCTCGATAATACGACCTTCACACATGGTCGAACCAACATTAAAGACGAGGCGTTGCCTCTATTCTCTGATATCCTGGCGTCGACAAAGGTACAAGACGAGACGTGGCAGCGTGCGGACGGTACTTATATTACCAAGTATGACTGGTCTGACTTCATTCGCAATCTGGACTTTCATGGGGTCTATGGTAGTGAGTTCGGTTCCTGGTATATTCGACCTGGGCGCGATTACTTCAACGGAAATCACCTGAAGCAAGAGCTCACGGTACACCGGGAGAGCGCCACTGGAGATGCTGTGGAGTTAAATGTTGTACACGGATCACATTTTCAAGTCAATTCGAGCGCGACATTTCCGGCTGGAAAGATTTGGGGTCCATGGTTGTGGTATCTGGTAAGAGATTTAGCTGCCTTTGAATTTTGTTAACGGTCATTGATTGCTGACTTTGATATCGCTAAGAACTCGGGCTCGAGAGATGACGCAGCTAGTAGAGCCGTGCAGGAATTCGCAAGCTGGCCATACTCCTGGTTGAACGACTCTGATTATCAATCTCGTGGCTCTGTCTCCGGCAGACTTATTCTATCAGATGGTCGGCCTGCCGCCAACGCGTCAGTGTTTCTGGGGGACAATAGCTCGAACAAATCGACCTTGGACCAAGGCGAACATTACTATTATGCCGGTACCACTGACTCCCAAGGTTCCTTCGATATCGAAGACGTCCGTACTGGTACTTACGGATTCTACGCCTGGTCGGACGGCGGTAGTATTGCTAACGTGTCTACTACATTCACACGCAACGATATCGCTGTCCAACAAGGAGATGAAACAGCGCTTGGTCTTCTAACCTGGGAAACCCAGGCCCGGAAAGCGATATTCCAAATCGGCGAACTAGACCACAAGAGTCTTGGATTCCGCAACGGCGGTGCGCCATACCAACACGCTCTGGTAGCACAATCCCCAGCGAACCTCACTTACACCATCGGCGAATCCAACGCGAGCGATTGGTACTTTGGGCAATCCGCGCTGGGAGCCTGGACGGTTCTCTTTGACCTCACGGCGGCTGACGTGCCGTCGAATACATCTGCATCTGCATCTGCGGTCCTGTCCCTCTCGCTGGCGGGCTATTCTCAAACAGTCAGTTTAGATGTGAGCATCAATAGTCAGGTACTGACGAGCCTTACTTCCACTACTCTTCCCAGCGATCCTGGCTTGTATCGCTCTGGTACTACAGCGGGGGAATGGCGATTTCTCGAATTCGATATCGACGCTGGGGTACTGACCGCGGGGACTAATAGCCTTGTCTTTGAGGTCACGAGGACGACTCTGTGGCGGGGGTTTATGTGGGACAGCATTTTATTGGAGTGGAAAGAATAGGTTTCTCGTATGGTGGGGTGGGGGTGGCTGGTGGCTGGTGGCTGGTGGCTGGTGGCTTGGGGAGTGTGCAAGCGAACGTGCCGTGCCTGCATGGTACTTCCGTACTACCGTACGAGCTAAATATCCTCGTATCTTCATAAATGTCCGAAACTCGATATGATTGGACGCACTTGTAGATGCACATCATACTATGTACTGTACGCGGGAGCACTACTGTTACTGTATTCCTCTTCATCATCCACATCACATCATCATAGATTACATACTCGACATACAAAGGGTTTATCCTATACAAATAAATCGAGTGGGTATTGGGGGATATACGGTAGATATTTATGCGCTGATCCTTCTGCTTACGTGATGACGACATATTCAGTATCAAAGGAAAAGTGTGCCGATTACCCGTCCCCGCCCTGCGCTGCCTTCCTAAGCAAGCTACTGTATATTCCCGTACCTGGCCTGGCTACTTTCTTTAATCCCGTCTAGTTTCCAGCTAAAAATATCTTCGTGGGGCGTGGGGCAAAGATTTACAATTTTTCAAATCTCTCCTTTTCATCTTCAATTTGCTTCGTATGTAGGAAATTTCCTTGTTGCCATTCAAACACCCCTCCTCTCTACGAGCCTCACCGAGGAGCTCCATCATTGACTGATGGAACGCCTTGAACGGCTGCTGTCTCGGCCTGCTGCCAAGCCCTATCGTTCCAAGGCCTTCGAAGCCGGCGAAACGCTACATCTGAACCACAAAGGCCAGCTCGACTTTTCTCCAAATGACATTGAGAACCCCAAGAACTGGTCAACAGCACGCCGCTGGTACATCACGGTAGTGTCCGTCGTTCTAGTCGTCAATGCTACCTTTGCCTCCTCAGGTCCTTCGGGAACCCTCGAGGGCATTAGAGAAGAGTTTAACGTTTCGCAAGAGGCTGTTGGACTGGTCGTAACCCTATTTCTACTGGGATATTGTTTCGGGCCACTGTTCTGGGCTCCCCTCTCCGAGTTCTATGGCAGGAGATGGGTTTTCTACATCTCGTTCACCGGATACCTCATCTTTACCTTCCTCTGCGCCTTCGCCAACAACTTCGCCGCGCTTCTCATCGGACGCTTCCTCACCGGCACTTTTGCTAGCTCGCCGCTATCCAATGCCCCGGGCGTCTTGGCTGATATATGGGGATCCATTGAACGAGGAAATGCCATGGCGCTGTTCTCCATGATGACCTTTATCGGGCCTGCATTGGGGCCAGTCATTGCGGGATTCTTGGAGCTCAAGGAGAACTGGAGGTGGGATTTTTATGTGATGCTTATTTTCGGCGGGGTTACAGAACTCTTGATGTTCACGATCCCCGAGACTTTGCCTACTCAAGTTCTGTTGAACAAAGCGAGACGGCTCAGACGACTGAAGATTCCTGGATACGAAAACGTTCAGGCGCCCGTGGAGCAAACCGATCGGTCGCTGGGGGGCATTTTCCGCGTTGCTCTTACTAGGCCTTGGAAGATCCTGGTGGATCCGATATCGCTATTCGTCGCCATATACCTGTCGGTCGTCTACACCCTGCTCTACATGCTTTTCACCATCTATCCTATCGTTTTCCAGCAAAAGCGAGGCTGGAATTCTGGGGTTGGTGAGCTTCCATTGCTTGGGACTGCTGTCGGAGCTGTCCTTGGTGGTGCGGTGATATTTACTACTTCTGCGCGAGACAGAAAAAGGCAGGCGGCCGGATACGTAGGTCGGCCAGAGGATAGATTGGAAGTCGCAATGGTTGCTGGGATTCTGTTCCCGATAACCATGTTCTGTAAGTAGACATCCTACTTGCACGTTCCCATTTACAGGACCTTTACTCACGTTATTTCAGGGTTCGCATGGAGTGGAGAATACAACAGTGTGCACTGGATCGTTCCCACACTCGCCGGAGTATTCCTCGGCCAGGCAATCATCCTCATTTTCGTAGCCTATCTCAACTACCTGACCGACTCGTACCTTGTGTACGCCGCCAGCGCTCTCGCCGCCAACACTGTATGTCGATCCGCTGGTGGTGCCGCCGCACCACTATTCACGCAGTACATGTTTGATGCGCTTGGAGTCGGCGGTGGCGGCTCGTTGATTGGCGGTGTAGCCGTCCTACTAGCACCCATCCCATTCATCTTCTACAAATACGGAGAAGGGATTCGGAAACGATCTAAATTCGCGCCCACGCCCGGGCATTTGAACATTGAGCAAGAGACTCCATGGGAGCTAGCTCAGGAAGCTGATTCGACTAGCGTGAGCAGCAACAGCCACCACTCGAGTTCCGAGAGCACGGCCACCGAAGAAGGAGGTCCAGTCCAAGGAGTTCAGCTTGAGGGGGTTGGTGCTGATGTTATTGAAAAGGCAGAGGCTAGACGAGAAGTCGGTGCTGATGCTGAGCAGGGGAAGAAAATAAAAGAAGGTCCGGAGAGGGACTTGGAAAAGGGAGGATTGTAGAATACTATAGACGGACGGCGTTTGAAGAAGAATTGGAATACATTACATAGAGATTGTTTATAAGTACGGAGTACGAGACCATTTAGATACCTACCATAGCTTCCCTTTGCTTAAAGGTACCACCACCTATATTAAACTTTAACATCAGCAGCAGCAGCATATAACTTACAAGTATAACTACTAACAACACCACGTGCACTAAAAACCCTACACTTAACTTTGTAATCCCCATTTAATTAATTATTTCTTCCTTCCCTACTGTCAGTATCACAGGGGTGATCCCTTATGACTCTGCTATAATTAGCATATTGGTAAGACTTGACTCTGATTTTGGTAGTTTGGTTTATATTATGATGTGATGTGATGTCTAAGTTTGAGTGTGGAAAGCAGAGTGAATTGAATAATAGAAGACTGAGATGAGATATATGTATGTAACAAAACATGATTCCGACGCCCGTCCCAAAGCACAGGATTGAATCCAGATCCCAGGGAGGAAGCTAAAATCGTCTGAAAGCCGAAACATGCAAACACCGCAGCTGTATATCCCAAGTATTCGCTTCCGAGGGTGTGGTGTTGCTCCATTTATCGCCGCTGTAACAAGGGCATCAATTCGATATACCATGGCGATGTGTGGGAACCGCGATGTGGGTTTGAAAGTGTGGCTGCATTGCAGGAAGTGTGGCAGGAACCAACTATATACTCGTGGAGGCCGGGGCCCCGCAGTCACGCCATCTTTGCCATATACAGAGAGGTCCTTGTACCAATGCGAATGCTCCTGGTGCCGCTTCTATTCTCCCCCCAAGCCTGAAGATGATAGTAGTGGATTCCCTATTTTCCCATTCCTTCGTGTTGCACCATACTGGGTATACTGTATCATACATGGAAAGCGTATGCCAGAGACGAAGGATTGCTAGTAAGGGAGCGAGAGCCATAAGAAGTTATACGGTGTGAAAAAGCTACCAATAGACAGCGAACGGCAGCGAACCGAAGAGTATATTAACCGTAGGTCGAGAAAAAGAGCTACATAGCGGCATCCAGAAGAAGAAGAGTACCTTTCACTACCATAAGATAGTGGTAAAAAGAAAAATATGCCAGGCTGTCATCTCCACAAGATGTCGTCGAACTGGACGAGAACCGCTGATGCGTGTAGGTGAGGTTGCAGTCTAGTCAACTCCACGAGGTGTCGCCAGTGGGCGCGTGAGGCCATAAGATGCACCCCTTAAAAGATAGGCAGCGAATCGGCGAGAAGCTAAGACCATGATTGCATTGAAAAAGAGACGCAGACGAAGAGCTGGATTGCCGTATAATATAGAGTTGAATAGCTTCAATACAAGGGAGCCAGCATCCGTCGCACCCAGAGGACCAATCGTGGGAATCGCGATGTGGCTGCGTTGTATAAACGTGTGGCAGAAGCTAGCTACATACTTGTGGAGGCCTGAGACCCCACAATATGTGCTATCCTTGCTTCGGTGCCAATCGAGTAGCATGAATATATAATGACTAGAACGGTTGCGAAGGTTTTGTCAGGTGCTTGGAGAAGACACCTCCGGGTTATCGAAGTAAGTGATGTGTTCCGGTTCATTCATGAATCTTAGCGCATTCACGAGTGACCTAGTTCATTCATGAATCTTAGTACAAATTCACGTATACCCCAGGTCACTCGTGAATATTAGTGTTATTCACAAATAAACTAGTTTACTTATAAATCCAGTTTACTCATGAATCTGCACTAAACCAAAGTAAGCAAGAGCTCACTTTATAGGCAATCCCACCCCAAAAAACTAGTTTATACGTGAATCCATTTTATTCGTGAATCTTAGCGTGGATTCACGGATGAACTAGCTAGACTCACGAATGAACCGGAACAGATGTAACCTGATGAACTATTAGTCGATAGTCGGAATCAATCATACACCCTTGCTTCCTATAGTTGAGTGATATTCTCGCCATTATTGATATATGTGCGCCGTGTTTCGTAGAAGAGGTCTAGGAAGAGATGCCGAAAAAGTTGAGACGAATTCTGCTCTTACTACGACTTCTGCATGCCATGCGACAAGGAGGACGACGAGGTCGCGGACATCCCCGCTCTCTAAACTGAGTTGCAGGCTGAGAATCTGAATTAGATGAGGTCCTAGAGCTACCCGTTGAAGCGCGAAACCTTGACATGTTCTTCTAGTCCACGAGTTTGTTCGGTTTCGACAGCATGCCCATCTCGGCGATGGCGACTGCGGCGGTGCATATTTAACCATCAGCCTCAACTTAATATACCTCCTAATAACCGCGTACTCGAGCAACCCTCATGACCTCTCCCATTGATTGGGATTCTCACTCACGAGCACGATGCCCATCACAAAGGTCAGCCCCTCTGGGCCCCCCCTGATTAACCTGACGGGAGGTGGACCGATGAAACTAGCCAACTGCGAAAACGGGTGCCCCAGGCACTCGGGCACCTGCCTGGCACACCTTAGGACCGTCTTTAAGATAGCCATGGCGTCTCTGCCGTCCTGAATTTCGACCATGCTGTATATCGCGCCCGTCGTGCCGATGTGTACCTTGTTCTTGCTGAATCTCTGAGTTGTTCTCGACACGAATCTCATCACGTGTTCAACTACTCCTGGACGTGCCTTGTGCATGTCCAAGTGGTCTGTGATCTCGCTGTCCAGTGCCGACAATCCGAACAAATTGCTCTTGAAGGGCTGAACTTGACTCTCGGTCTCTCCTCCGGGATGAGCTTATCAGCGACTTCACGGACATCTCGAGCTTCTTGATCCGTTCGTCTATGTGCATGTTTCCGTCGTCAGTCCCGTGATCTTTGCGTTTTCGTGATCTTTTGGGTCGGCCTGCGATCCTCACCATAAAGTCATCGCTCTCGGAGACATTCTTCTTCTTTATGTTGCCGTCCATGACGATCGAGTTGATATTGGCGAACAAGATGGTCCTCCGTCCAATAGTAGTGATGACTCGTCCAGTAACACAATATCACTTCGTCTGTGCATCAATACTGGTATAGCTTCGCTGTGCAAAGTAAGACAGGACTGCCACTGAGGTTCACCGTAGGACAGCTGCTAACCCAATCGATCAGATCAAGAAAGAGACGCAAATGACGAGTCCCATAGCACCGCAGAAGGAGAGGAGAGCAGAAAGATGCTGAGGACTTCGTCATCAAGAGCGGCATGCTCTCTAGGGTCCCAATTCCCAAGTTCGTCAAGGGGGAGAAGCAAGGTTGCCACGTCACTACCAGGCATGCACCCTCAGATGCGGGCACAGGACCTTTATGGACCACACCACGATGGAAACGATCGAAAACAGAGCGCGATTGGGCCTCTTGAACATGACCACCAAGACAGTGTAATACGGCATCGAGATGAGCGCTGAAAGAGAGGTAAAGCAGATATCAGTTTTCGCGGGAGAGGAGAACAGGTTCAACACCTTCATCAAGACGTCAATGAGGTCCAATACAGATCCCGTGTTGAGGGAGATCTCCGACGAGGTTGAAGCATCCTGGTGAAGAAGCCAGAGATGTCTCCAGTAGGTCGCAACGCGAGATTCGGACGAGCTTTTGGAGCTCCTCAACGGGACCGGTGGTGGAACAGTGCATTCTAGTATTGGAGGTTTATGCATCGTGAGCCTATTGTTGGCGTTTTGAGGCCTTCGATACAATTCCCAAGAACTTCACAGGGAATTAAGTCCTGATATTTACCCACCCTTGCCATCGTAAAATACGTGATATTTTCCCACCTTTAGATCATGTACTGGAGCTGTGGAGAGGGGTATATGCCGAGTAGGATAAGGGCGAGATCTTGACTGCCCCATTGTCGGTTCCCAAGTAAAGTACTCAACTTCTCCCGTGCCGTGTGCTGGTCTTCGCATTTAAGCCTTTGCAAAGTCATTGTAGACATCTTGAACGCTGCCAAAAAAAATCAATTTCGAGGTAGTCGTTACTAGTAAGGATCGAGCGCCGGGCGTAGACTCGTGTGAGGTCCCCCGCCATAATATAGCATCTTCTTGGAGGGGCTTCCGAGACCGTCGACCTCTTATATCCCCGTGAAGTTTGACTGAAGGTGGGCAAGCGCGCGACGAAGTGCGTTTTAATGATCGTACGAACCTGTGAAGCTACTCAATGGCGTTGATGGTAAATCCCAAAGAACAGTGTATCATATCCTATGTCATGCCATCCTAACATTGGAAAGCATCGTCGTGAGCCTGTTCTTAGCCTTTTGAGGACCGCGAACCAACGCTGAAGCGATTGTAAGTACCGTGCAAGACTTACCTTGGACCCCTGCTGTATAACGTAGACTCTTCCTGGAATCCTGTGGGCTTTCCGAGACCTTTTACCTGTTCCACCTCGAGGTGGGAAAGTGCGCGGCAGAGTGCGCTATCAAGCTGAGAGTCCTACGGGCCTATGAAGCTCCTCGACGGCCTCGCTGGTAAATCTTGAGTGTGTGAGCATCGTATCGACGGGTCTATTTCCGTAAGCATTACAAGTCCATCATAAGCAGCTTGAACCCCCGGACATTGCGTAGATGCCGCCGTAAATTGTAACAACAGTATGTGCCTTGCGAGACTCGTGTTAGCGCTTCATTGTAGCCGCTCTCTGCCAGTCTCGGGGCCTTCTGCCTGTTGCATCTCCACGAATAGTATCTGCATGCGGGATGTGGGATAGTGCGCGGCAGGGTACTTCGTCGACACGGCCACTAACAGACACCAGTAATAAACTTATGGGGCAGTGAGGGGATGGTAAATCGACTTGCAGGCTAGCCCCGGAAGCGAAAGGTACACCAAACTTTGATTTAACGTCACAAAACTTCCCCATCCCACACAAACTTATCCTCATCTTCCAAAAATCATCGAATTGCTATCTTCTGCAGCGCCGCAGAACAATAAAATACCCTTTAAGAAAGACACGTATGGACATTCTGGTTCAGCTTCATCGAAATGAAGGATACACAGCCCTTTCTCATTCACGGCGCCGCCACCATTATCACCATCAAGTCTTGAGC